CCATTGGTCACGCACGCCTTTGATCCCAGCATTTGGGAGACAGAGGCAGGCGGATTTCTGAGTTTGAAGCCAGCCTGGTCTACAGAGTGAGTTCCAAGACAGCCAAGGCTACACAGAGAAACCCTGTCTCGAAAAAACAAACAAACACAAAAAAAACACAAAAGATGTGCATCATCATGTCCTACATAAATTTCTTTCCAAAACCATCATGTAAGCTCTAGTGTGCTTCAGGGCAGCTGAGTATTTGTGTCTTACTATGCTTCTTGAAGCTGATATGTTGGGAAGAAATAAGTTTTTCCATACAAAATATTTAGGCCATGTTTCTTCCCCTCCCCTGCCTCATCCCAGCTCCCACCACCTCCCTGCAACCCAACGTCATGTTCTTCCTCTCTCACTTTCCAAATCAGCCCCCCCAAGAATGAAAATCAAACAAGAAAAAGGCCAACAAGATATACACAAAAAAGCCAAACCAAAAGAAAAAGTCCCCCAAAGTCACCACTGAAGTTTGTTTTGTGTTGGCTAACTCCTCCTGGGCATGGGGCTTGTCTAGGAGTGTGGTTAATATACCACCCAGTGACACGCCATTGGAGAAAACAGATTTTCCTTCTGTCAGCGAGTACCAATTGCAAATAGCTTTTTGGTTAAGGGTTGGGTGTCCATGTCTATGTCTTTCTTTCAGTTCTGTGACCCTGTCTGGCTTGAACTTGTGTAGGCCATGTGCATGGTGCCACGGTGTCTGTAAGTTCCTATGTGCATCTGTTGTATCTAGAAGACAGTGTTTTTTGTTTTTTTTTTTTTTTCAGAGTCATCCATTACCTCTGGCTCTTAAGAGTCTTTCTGACTCCATTTCTCCATAGATCCCAGAGCTTTAAGGGGAAGCAGTGGGGGAGGGCTCTGACAAAGACAGCTTGCCTAACATGCACAAGGCCTTAGGTTCAGTCTCCAGGACTACATAAAGCTGGCCATGGTGGCGTATGCCTGTCATATATATTTAGCCCCCACCTTCTGAGTGGCATCAAACTATGTGCGAACCCCATCTGGTCCTGCCAGAGTTCCATGTGTCAATTTCAGTGGAAATGTTTACGTCAGAAGTGAAGGGATGAGCAGTGACCTGTGTCGCTTTCTGTGCTTGGTTTGCAGAGCACTAGAGACTAGACCCAAGTGAGGGTGTGACCTCTAGGGAGTGTGAGGCACAGCACCTCCATTTTAACATGTTCCATACAAGTCACATGGCTTCCCGTTGGTGTTTGTGGCTGGAAACCCAATGGCAACTCAAATTCCAGTCACCTTTTGCCTTTCCTTCAGTTCATCACAGGGCTGGTAGGTAGCCTAAACTAATCTCCGCAAAACTAGGACAAGGTCTCAGGTGTCTTCATCTACAGAGATACAAGCTAAACTGGGCTAGAGAGAGGATACTGTTAAAGTGGCCAAGAGCCTGAGACCAGCTAGGTCAGGAGCCTGGGGGAAAATGTACCCTATTATTCTGTTGAGGGAACAGCAAGAAAATGACCCTTGGTGACACTGCTCCAGCCACAGACGAGTGCCACACTCAGTCTTCATCAGAGAGGCTGCTTCTTGTAGTACATGCGGTAGTCTGTGCATCTCAGTGTCTACAAGACACAAAAATACACTTTCCTATAAAAAAAGCTGCAAATGGAAAAAAAGGGATTGAAACCAGGATAGTTTACTAGCAGTACCAGACTTCCAAACAGCAAGACAAAAATCATTTCCAAGAACTGAAATAAAGCGATGTAAACAATTCCCAAAGGAGTTTGCTGAGGTTGGCGGCATACAAAAAACTGGCAATCGTAGAGAGAAGTTGCTGAGAATTAAATTTTGCTAGGTTGATTTATGTTCATGAGTGTTTTGCCTGCATGTCTGTGTGTACCTCATACATAGAGGTCAGAAGAAGGCATCAAAAGCATCCTCTGGAACTGGAGTCATGGGCGGTTGTGAGCTGCCAGGTAGGTGCTGAGAACTGAACCCAGGACCTCTGCAAGGGTAGTCAGTGCTCTAAAACAGCCATCTGCCTAACTCCCCTGAGGAGAATTTGAATGGTTTACATATCTGCCCATGACAAGTTGATTTGGATGCACTGACTTCTGGCAAGGTTTTTTTTTTTTTTTTTTCATGGGCTCTACATTTTTTGATGTTGCTTAACACAGGAAAAAAAGACAAAGTAAGAGAGAGATCCTTTTCAAATTCGGTCCCAACCAGCTCATTTGAGAGGCAGTCATGTATCTACATCTCACCCGGGGGCCTGGAACAACAGCGGGACCACCAGACAGCCAAGCTCAAATAGCTGCAAGATGATGCCACGCTCAGAACAAGGTTTCATTTGTGCATGCCAGGCTTTAAGGCTCGCCATTGTAGGGCCAACAGGTCTTCGCCCATGTTGAGCAAAGAACTTTGAGGGAGATAGCAGTCACCATAGATCTGTTTTCAATCTTGCTTTCATTCTAGACATAGTCTCTGGCCCATGACTGTCATTTTCTCAAAGTTGTTTATCTTGTTGGCTGTTGTCCATTTGGTAGCCTTCTTTCTGTCTTGTAATATTAACTTGCTTCAAAGAACTGAAGATTAATAAAGACCTATGAGAGTCAATCTGCTTATTGTAGACTAGCCTCTGAAATCTGTAGATTTAGAGCAGCCACAAATGGTTTTATCTTGTTACTTAGTAAGATAATATAAAATGTAGTCTTTGAAGAGAACAAGGGGCCTTGTTGATGTGACTGAATCAGACAGTGTCCTTTGTCCATTCGCCCAGTTTGGCCCTTGTTCCTTCCAAAACCTCCCTTTTCAGCATGGCCCATGCTGTTAACTGCTTGAGAAGCCAGAGCCCGAGACCCTTCTCCATTTGTCCCACAGCCCATATGTCCTAATGTGTGAACTAAGGCACCAGTGTGTCTGCTGATAGAGAAAGCCCAGGCCACAGAAAGGGCCCTTTGAGCGACATGTAGACACAACTGAGGCTCTCTTTGGCCCTAAGAATATCGTACTAGGCAGCATTTGGCTGAAGACACTAGATGAAAATTCATGTCATTTAACAATGGGAGTGACATCTGGATATGGAGCGCAGAGGGGTCTGTGTTGTCCTCTCCCAGTATCAAATGAATGACACTTGAACACTCTTCAGGTGACAGCACAGGCGCACTGTGAGGTAAGGAGAGAGAGAACACAATTTCATAGCACTCAGATAACAAAGTTATATGTCCCTTCCTGGTGACCTCTTTGAAGGCCTTGAGCAAGCTGTTCCGTGCGTTGACTTAAATGTATCAGTTGAAGCCTCAGGAGCCTGAAGCAGGATTACCTACATTGTGCCAGGCCAGGGCTACATGCCAAGTCCATGTCTCAAAAAACAAAACAAAAAACAAGAAACAAAAAGTATCTGTTGCAAGTATTCTTTGGGGATTTTTTTTTTTGCATTTTTCATGTGTCTCTGTGTGGTCTGCATGTACATATGTGTCCATTCACATGTATGTACACACATGTATGTGGGTGAACATATTCATGTGGAGGTTGATACTGGGAGTCGCTCTTAACTTCTCTCCACCTTACTCATGGAGGCACGGCCTCTCAGTTGAACTCTGCGCTTGCTGCCAAGACTGGTCTAGTTAGCAAGGTTGCTCTGGGGATCCCATCTTATCTCTGGGATTGCATACTGGTGGGCTGTCATGCCCACTCTGGCCCATTTCATTCCTCAAGGGCGTATGCCAGGCCACTACGCCATCTTCCCAGCTACCATGCTGGGAAGAAACAAGGCTAGTCGGGATGAGCAGGTTTGGATGGAATGAATATAAACATTATAATCAAGCCCACAAAAAAGTGAGAACACAGCCCCATCAGCTTCTAGAGGGACTCATAGCCAGACCAGTGCTATTTTCTACAAATGAAAAAGCCGTATTGAATTTTACTCAGTATCTTTCAATATAAGGCTACCAAACCTCGAATTTTCTCTCTATCAGAAGGGAGCAAAGACACGGGTTTGTCTTTCCTGTAGATGACAGAGCAAAAAGGCACTGACTTGCTGTTTCTCTTGTTTTAGTCTTAAGCTGTTTAGGGAGAGAAGGTAGGCCATCATATGTTCTGAGTGCATGAGTGAGTGAATTATTATTTTGGGTTTTGTTTTGTTTTGTTTGTTTTTTCGAGACAGGGTTTCTCTGTGTAGCCCTGGCTATCCTGGAACTCACTCTGCAGACTAAGCTGGCCTTGAACTCGGGAGATCCCCCTGCTAGTGCTGGATTAAAGGCATGCAGAATTATTAACAATAATAAACTTTCCTAAAAAATTTCCCAGGTTATGACATATCTATCTCAAAATGCAAACTAGTAATTGAGTATCTTAAGGAGTGTGTGTGTGTGTTTATTTTTGAGAAAGGGTCTCACTTATTCAGCCCTGGCTGTTTCTGGGAACTTGCTAAGTAGACTAGGCTGGCTGTGAACTCACAGAAACTAGCCTGCTTCTGCCTCCGAGGTAGGTGCCACTAAGCTGGGCTTATACCTTTTTTATTTATGAATGTTGTGTATGGACATGTGTTAGGGGTACCCTCCCAAGGCCAGAAGGCATCAAATCCCTTGAAGCTAGAGTTATAGCTGGTTGTGATATGGGTGCTGGCAATCAAACTTGGGTCCTTTGGAAGAGCAGCAAGCTGTCTGAACCACCAAACCACCGCTTCATCCCTTGGAGTATCTGTTCAGGGTAAAGTGTCATTGTCTTTTCGTGAAGGTAACTGGGCGTAACCATTTCATTACCATCTTTTTTTTTTTTTTTTGGTTTTTCGAGACAGGGTTTCTGTGTATTCCTGGCTGTCCTGGAACCCACTCTGTAGACCAGGCTGGCCTCGAACTCAGAAATCCGCCTGTCTCTGCCTCCCAAGTGCTGGGATTAAAGGCGTGTGCCACCACCGCCTGGCAATTACCATCTTCTGAAATACACAAGTTCATTCAAAGTTAGGGCAACAAACTCGAATCCTAAGTATGGACAAAATTCACACAGAAAGGTGGAATTCTAGCTTCTCTTTAATCACCAAATTTATGTTTACAAACAACCTTAGGGGAGTTCAGGTGACTAAGGTTTTGTGGGGACAGTTCTTGCACATGAAGGACAATTACATGCTCCAATTCTTTTTCCTGTAACTATTAAGACACATTGCCACAGACACAAAAACTTAAAGCCACAGATCGCCGCACTTATATTTACAGAGCCGCGAGCAGACATGCATTTCTCCTTCAGCTGGAGGGCGGAAATAAATGCTTGAGCGTTAAGGCAATGAGATTCCAAAACAACAGAACATCTAAGTTAAGGCTTTATGTCTGTTCTGAAACTCACACTCACAGGCGACCACAACCACTGTTTAGCTCCTGGGTTGCATTCATCTGCTGGGTGTGTTATTAGCCCATTACTGAGTCCTTGGCATCGGGTGGACGGGGCAGGACAGCAGCAATACCAGTCTATTGAATGAGTCATCAGCGGCCCCCTTAGGCTTTATTTCCAAGGTTCGGCTTTTGGCAGCACAAACATGCCACAGAAAGAACAGGGTTTTCCAGGCTAGACCGGAAGGGTCCCCAGGCTGTGCTCATTTTGATTTGCCTCTGAGTTGGGCAACAGCTATGATCTACTTAGCACAGAGACGCCCCCAAGGCTTGCTTGACCTCCCCCCCCCCCCGGCCCCCCAGAATGAGAGAGTGTTCTTTACCATTGAAGCAATTGGTCTCCAGACTTTTCCTCCTTAAAGAATGTGTCACAACGGAATCTAGATTAGCATACTTTAGATGGGTCTATTCGACAATTGCTAGTCTCAAGGTACACATGATATACTTGCCAGACCAAAGAGCTACCTTCAAGGAAAAGATGGGGGTGGATGGAAGGAAAGACGCGTGGGCCCTGCTTCTTCTATTAGGAGTGCAGCATACTGACAAGGGCTGGGCAGGAAGGCCTTTACCTCATCCTGCGTCTGTCTTCCTTTTTAGTTCTTAGAGGGTCTCTGAGTACATTATGGAAAGCAGGTAGGCCCCCATGATCTACTGTGGAGCAGGAAGGATGTTTGTGGGTGATGTAAAGTATGTATTTGCACACAACTTCCCCCAAACCCAAAGTATTCAGAAAAAAAAGAGTTTGCTTTTGCTTGCTATGAAGCCATTGGTAGCTGGTAGCCTCTGGATAGTATTGGGATGGAGACGCAGAAGTGATCAAGGAATAATTAATGATCGAGGGGTTGGATTACTTCAGCTTCATCCCTACCTCCCCACCCACCAGGAAGGGCGACACTCAAGGGTAAGTAACTAATGGGTTAAGCAACTCTCTACCCAAACATTGAAGCAGCCATTAACCTTACAAGACTGGGTTTGGAGGTTTCTACAAGGCTAACACAGATTCTTGGTAGGTGTGCCTAGAGAAGGCATGGAACTCCTCTGCCCCTTTCCCACCCAGTCTACCTGTCACAGAAACGGTATCCCTGAGTTCTAGTAAATTAACCGAGCACAAAGAGTAGGGAGTCACAGGAACTCCAATTTACTGAAAGCTAGAAGCTCTGGGGCGACTAGAAACTACTCTCTAGCCTTTGTGTGCTCTCAGCTGGCAAGTGGCAATCCCACAGATTTGGTCACAGAGATCTTTTTGATCAACATCATTGAGGAAGCAGAGGAAAGCTTGTCCATGAAGCAGGGTGAACCCAAGATGAACAAAAGGCGGGTGTCCACAGTGCGCATCTTCACAGGCTGGATGCCTTCCTCTTACTGAAACTGCCATTTACACTAAGAGCTGTTCTCACACTGGCCAGTAACCTCACATCGAGAGAAGGACAGCACACAAAGCTGGCAGCAGTCATAGCTCAGGAGGGAGGGACAGTAGAGACTAAGAACTGTCATAACAGCTAAAGACAGCTGAGGCTTCCCTCGGTGCTTCTGAGTCGGGGACATGACAAGGCAAGGACATGTGGCATTTCAGGAGTCAGCGGCCACACAAGGGTTGTCTAAGCGTTTGAGACATGGAGGCGCCATTTGAGTGTGCTATACTCAGTTAAAGCAGCTGCAGAGCTTGCACCCTATTACCTGGTAAGCTTGGCATTAGCTAAACAGTTCTAAGTTTTACAGTGTAAAATGCCTTTTGAAAAGATAGAATAGCTACACAGGAGCAAACGTAGGCGACATTTTAGACCAACACTTTACACTTTATAACACACTCACATTTGCACACCAATCTTGTGTTCACGAGTACAAAACACCAAGAACTGCAGAGAATCTAAAAAGCTGCCCCACTGGCTACATCCCCAGTCGGTGCCAGTCCTTGACCCCGTGTTCTAAACCCACAAGGAGGGGATGCCTGGCTGCACCTTCAGAAGCTGGAGACAGCGTGCAGCTCTGCGCACGTCTGGGTTTCCACGGAGCTGAACTGGGACTCCATTGTATTCCAGGCCAAATCAGCTAGAAGGAAGTCATCCATTGCTGTCTGAGTTTCGTTGCTGGTGAGGAACAAGTTCCCCAGGGGCTCGAAGCCAGAACTCATGGTCTGTGTTTCTGTGCTGCTCAACTGGACCTTGCTCTCCAGAGCAGGTGCATGTTGAGCTGGGGAGGCTCCTTCGGTTTGAGTTTCTGTGTCAGAAGAGTCAGTACTCATGGAGAAGCTGGAGTGTTTCAGAATGCTGCCCAGGGGCAGGTGAGGACTACTGTCTAAGAAGAAGTTTAAGTCTGTCTGTGTCTGTGTGTCAAACATCTCAAGACCCAAGAAGCCTGAGCCTGCCCTGAACCCATAGGGCTGCGCGGAAGGGTCTGAGAGGAAGACGTCAGTCTGCGTCTCGATGTCCAGGGACTCCAAGACCGGCTCAGTGCTCATGGAGCCGAGTTCACTCTCCTCAGTCTGAGTCTGGATATTTGAGGCCGAGAGGAACTCTTCAATATCAAAATCAATCCCAGAATTCTGCGCTGAGCCTGATGGGAGCTGGGCGTCAGGACCGGGGTTTGTGTCGGACAAGAGACTCCGGTTATCCAGTGTTTGACCCGGCAGATTACTTGACAAGATGTTTTCTAAGTCACTCAGTAGATCTATGGTTTGGGTCTGATTATCTGTCATGTTTTGTGAAGGAAGCATGCTGTTCTGGGCACTGAAGTTTAACACAGGTGCAGACTTTTCGATGACTTGGCTTAAGATCTTAGGGTCACTCTGAGGTAACAGACCATGAGTTACTGTCTCTGCAACTAAACTGCTACTCATGATGGTGTCATTTGGAACACTGTATGACGAATGGACACTTTCAAAAATGTCCCCACACAGGCCAGTGTGGCCCACTGGCACTGAGTCATCTGTGTGGTTTTGCATCCTGCTGGTCTGGGTTTCTCTGGAGACCCCACCAGGCTGGAAACAGGCATCTATAAATGCATCTGTCTGAGCAGCTATGGATGAAGTGACCTTAGAGTTGGGTACCAATGTCTGGGTATGGACACTAACAGGAAGGGACACTTGAGAATCAAACGACAGGTCAGTCTGAGAACACGATGACACAGAGGAATCAGGGCCAAGCCACTGAGCAGAGGGTATCAAATTGGCTGAAGCATAGGACAGATCGGTCTGCACATTGGTTGAGGAAATGGTGTTCTTCTGACACACACTCCCTACCTCTTGTAAAGGACTACACAGACTTTTACTCAAGTTCACTTGAACACCTGCATTCATTGGCTCAACAACAGGACTGATAATTTTTGAGAGAGGTAGGCTCTCCTTCAGAGAGCAGGCCTCTGAATCCAGGCTGAGGATGAAGGTTCCTACTGACAAGGGTACTAAGTGCACAGCACCTGCCGCAGAACTGTGATCCACGCCTAACACCACAGGCTGGGCTGAGGAGTCCGCGGTAGGCACAAAGACAGGCACAGGGGAAAACTGCATGACCGGAAGTTTAACCAGAGCCACCTTGGGCTTTGGTAGAAGCAACTTCTGGGGGCACCTGGGAGGCGTTGCGATGCTCTGCTTTTTGGTGTGGGAGCTACAAGAGTCTTCGAGGGATGCTGCTAGCTTTCCTTCTGAAGCATCTGGTTCATGAGCATCTTGGCGAGGAGCTGGTTGGTCGCTCAGTGGTTCAGTGGTTTTACTGGACAACTTTTGGTTTTGCAGGTAGCTTTCCATTTTCCTTTTCTTACTAGGTGGGTCTCTGGAAACAGTAACAAAGCAAAAATAAATTCAATTTGAAGGTGAAACTTACACTTACCCACGTGTGTGCCTGCTCTCTGCGTTCGTCCTGTGTAATGGCGACAAAGGCTGAAGTGGGTATTGGAGTCCTGGGAGCTAGAGTTAGGGGCAGTTTTGAGCTGCTTGAGATGTGTGGGAACCAGACTCAGGTGTTCTGTAAGAGCAGAAAGCTCTCCTCACTGCTGAGCCATCTCTCCAGCCCCTCAAGGGTAGCTTTCACTGAGTACCCACCATATCTTCATTACTCAATTCCACTTCCCACAGGAGAGGAGGGACTCAGATGGTGGTGATGATTCTCTTCTGCCATCACTGAGACTTAGGCTTGCACTGGGAAACAAATCTCTCTCCAGGGACTTACTCAAGCTCTGGCCTTAACTTTTGGGACCGCTCCTGCTTCTGTCTCCTAAGGGATTTCATGCATGTGTTAAATACACTCCATTCTCAACTTGAGGAGTTTTTAAAAATTCCCTTTTTTTATTACATTTATTACTTATGTGTGTGCACATGTCACAGGACATTCGTGGTGGAGGTCAGAACAACTCTCAGGAATTGGTTCTCTCCTTCTACCATATGGGTGCCGAGGCTCAAACTCAGGTTGTCAGGCTTGAAGGCAAGAGCCTTTACTCACTGAAACATCTCTCTGGTCCTTTAGGTCTTTAAAATCAGGAACTTTCAAATCAAGAAGCTTATAAGTATCACTCCTACAGCAGAAAGCCACTACACCAAATATCAATTTGCTAATTGAAAATGAAATTTCAGCCAGGCAGTGGTGGTGCATGCCTTTAATTCCAGCACTTGGGAGGCAGAGGCAGGTGGATTTCTGAGTTCGAGGCCAGCCTGGTCTACAGAGTGAGTTCCAGGACAGCCAGGACTACACAGAGAAACCCTGTGTCGAAAAAAAACCAAAAAAAAAAAAAAAAAGAAAAAAAAATGAAATTTCGAGCTGAGCCTGTGATTATAATCCTAGCCACACAGGAGGCTGAGGCAGGGTGTTTAAGAGCAGCCTGCGGTGCAGATTGAGGCCAGGGCCAGCATCGAGAAAGAAAGCATGAGGGCTGGATGTGACTCAGGACTGAGCCCTTGCCCAGCACTGCAGAATGGAGTAAACAGACAGATGGAAGACGGAGTCCTAGTCTAGCTTTGAGTTCTCAGCAACCTGTTTCTTTAGAGAAGATGCCGGAAGTTGAGCTTTTCAGACGGGAACAGGAAGGGAGCATGGGAAACTGTGTGCTGGAGAGGTGGCTCAAAGGTTAAGGGCACTTGCTGCTTTCCAGAGATCTAATCTGGTTTCAGCACCCATATCAGGCAAGTCACAGCACTGGTAACTCCGGCTCCAGGGGCTCCAATGCCCTCTTCTAGCCTCTGCAGGAACCTGCACACACATGCTACTCACACACACAAACTGATACACACGTACATGTAAGTAAAAATAAAACCACAAAGCATCTGGATCAGCTTCTCAGGCTGTGCTAGGCACTGAAGCACACACACACCTGTAACCCCAGCACCTGGGGGCTGCACCAGGACGACACACCTGTAACCCTAGCATTTGGGAGGGTGCAGCAGGGGGACACACCTGTAATCATTAGGCCCAGCCTCAAATAAAATAAAGAGGATCCTGGCCCAGGGGCTCTTTCTGTATTCCTGCTGCTATTCCAGACACACCCTTTTTAAAGCCACAGGTCCTTTCCCTGTTCCTTCCGTTCCCTATGTGGCTGGATCTTCAGGAAGTCCCATTTCCAAGTCCTCACAGCTACTCAACAGCATCTCTGTGTTTTACCTGTGTTCTGCAGGGATCTCGTGGCCGGTTCGGTAGATGTGAGACTGCAGTGCGGTTCTGCTGGCGTAGGGACAGCCGCACGTACACTGGAAAGTCTTGCCGCAATCCTCCTCGTGTCTTTTCAGGTCCCACTCGGTGCCATAGGAATTACTGCACTTACTGCATTTGTGCTTCTTCTCTGCATGCATTTTCATAAAGTGCTGCAGAGAACACAGTGACGAAGACAAGACAGCATCACATTAAGATCCACCCACACACCCAACTTCCCACGCTCACCAGGTACTGCACTTGCCAGGAGACAGACCGCAGTCTAACATATGCCTCTCCTTATGCACAGTGGGCAGGCTGCCTTGGAACCGACCCGTGTACTCGGATTCTCAACTACACTGAAGTGCTGTGGGCAAGAATACACAGTGTGTTGGCTAGGTTTATGTCAACTTGACAAAGCTAGAGTTATCTGAAAGGAGGGAGCCTCTGTTGAGGAAATGCCTCAGTAAGATCAGGCTGTAGGATGTTTCCTTATTAGTAATTAAGGAGGGAGGGCCCAGCCCATCATAGGTGCTGCTGTCTCTGGGCTGGTGGTCCTGGGTTCTACAAGAAAGCAGGCTGAGCAGACCATGATGAGCAAACCAGTGAGCAGCACCCTCCGTGGCCTCTGTATCAGCACAAGCTCCAGCCCTGCTTGAGATGTTAGCTTGACTCCCTCCAGTGAGGGAGTATGACCTGGAGGTGAAGCTGAACAAACCCTTTCCTCTCCACCTTGCTGCCTTGGTCATGGTGTTTCTTCACAGCAGTAGTAACCCCAACTAAGACAAAGTCTCTGCAGTGTCCTCAAGACTGCAGAACGGCAGGTTAAATTCTTATTTCTATTTTCGTGCATCTGTGTGCATGTACGTAGACAGAGTCAACTGTCGGAGGGGCCAAAAGACAGATAAGATTTCCATGGAGTTATGGGTGGCTCCGAACCACCTGGCATGGGTGCTGGGAGTGGACCTTCGGGCTTCTCTAAGAGTAGTGTGTGCTTTTGACCACTGAGCCATCTCTCCATCTCAGGCTCAGTTTCTTCAGTCTCAAATCTCTTTCCTCAGTAGCTGGATCCCTTCCTCCTCACAAGACAGCAGCCTCTTTCTGAGCTTCCAAATGTCCCTCCTTACTGGCTCTGTGTCTCGCTCTTGCCCTTGGAGGCACATATACTCCAAGGTGCGCACCATAAATATTCTAACTCTTGGCTGGATTGTCTGTTTCTTCCTCTACAAACCTGGCTATGGGCATTTCACTCAGAACAAGCCTCATCTTCCACCCACACAGACTGAGGAACCATTGTGTAAGACCTGGTCAGCAGCTCCCCCAGAACTCACACTTGGCTCTCTGGCTATGTCTGCTCAGCATAACACAGTGCTCACAACACACTGATGCTTATGCCGTCTGTATGCCACTGTGCTGGCGTGATGGCTTCACAGGCTCAGCTATTTGAATCCCTGGTCCCCAATGGACTGGCGGCACTGCTTGGTTAAGTTTAGGAGGTATGGTGGAGATGGAGAAAGTATGGCACTGGGATGGCCTTCAACATGCTATTCCAAGTCTGCTCTTTCTGCTCCCTGCTTGCAGTTTAAGACAATGAGCACTCAGCTTTTGCTCCACACGGTATGTCTGCTGCCTGCTGCCACGCTCCCAGCCATGGTGGACCCTCGCTTCTCTGGAACTGTAAGCCACTTCCTTCTATAAGCTGCCTTGGTCAGGGTGTTTTTATTTATTTAAAAAAGTCATTTATTTTTATGTGTATGGGTATTTTATGTGCATGTATACCTATGTACAACATGTGTGTAGTTCCTACAGAGGCCAGGAGAGAGTGTGGGATTTCTCGGAACCGCAGCTACAGACATTTGTAAGTTTTGCCGTGTGGGTGCCAAGAACTGAATGCAGATCCTTGGGAAGAACAAGCCAATGCACTTGCACTTAACCAGGAGTCGGCTCTCCAACCTGGCCATAGTGTCTCATCACGGTGATAGCAAGTACTTAACACATGCACCTTGGGAAAAGTATAGTGACATACCTGCTTAACGAGAGAAAACTGAGAAAACGGTCTGTCAGGGCCTCGAGGGCATCCTTTGATTGGACAACAGTAGAATTTCGGTACAGTTTTCAAATCTTTTCTTATTGTTGGATTTACTATGCCATCCTGCAAAAGTAAAATCCAGCAGTTACCATCTCATTATTTATTTATTTTTCTAAGGTAGGGTATCTCTATGTAGACCAAACTGGCCTCCAAGTCAAAGATTTGCCTGGAATTAGAGGTGTCTGCAGCCCCACACCTGGCTCAGCAATTGTCTTATAGAACCCATCACAGTAGGCTGCTGGCAGATATCCCCCAGCCCCCACACACCAGGCTGCCCTGGTTCCTGGGTGTCATCCCTGCCCCCACTCTCAGTCTCAGCCCGAGAAGACTCCTGTGAATGGGATATGGACCTTGTTGGGAGCACCCCGGCTTTCCATTTTTTTTACTGTGTGTATGAGTCTGCACATACATGCATGATGTGCAAATGTATAAAGGTCAGAGGTCAGCATCAGGCCTAAATCATTCTCCATTTTACTTTTACTTTCAAGAATTATGTTTATTGATTTAGTACGTATGTGCACGTGCCACAGAACACATGTAGAAGTTAAAGGACACTTTGTAAAAGTCCCCTGTTCTGTCATGCGTGTCCAGGGACTGGCCTCAGGTCATCAGACCGGACAGCCCAGCACTCTGACCTGGTGGGCTGTCTCACTGGCCCACCATCCTACTTTTTGGAGACATGGTCCCTTACTGTGATGGCTACTCTGGTTGTCAACCTGACTATGTCTAGAATGAGCTGCAATCCAAAACTGGACATTTGAAGTAGGAAGTCAGACCTTCAATGTGGGCCTCATCTTCTGCCGGAAGTCTATATAAGGACATGGAGGCAGGAAGCTTCTGCTCTCTGCCTGCTTGCCCTCACCTTGCTAGCATATTCATCCCTTCACTGGCATTGGAGCCTACTTCTCTGGGACTCCAGCACATACCGAAGACCAGCTGAGACCTTCAGCCTTGTGGACGGAGCAACTACTTGATTATTTAACTTTCTGCTCACAGCCAGTCAATGTTAGCTACACTGCAGCCTGTAAGTCATTCCAATATATATACAGAGAGACAGAGACAGAGACAGAGACAGAGAGAGAGAGAGAGGGGGGGGGGCTCATTCTGTAAGCGGTTACTAGGGAATCCTGACTGATACACTTACTGACCCTGGAGCTCTTCAACTCCACTCGGCTGCTGGCTATGGCACTCCAGCGTGCTTCTAGGCTCCCTTCCCAGCCAGCACTAATGTAGGCGTGGCCCCCACACTTGGCTCATGTTTGCACCACATGCACTTTATAGACTGAGCTGCCTCCCAGACTATGTGAAGACCCCGCTCCGCACCCCCATTGTACTGAGGACTGAACCTAGGGCCTCACACATGCTAGGCAAGTGCTCTAGCACTCAGCTGTGTCCCCCCAGCTGGGATTTGGATCTGATTATCATCCTATCACCACCTAAAGGAGCTTCAAAATAGTCTGAATGTAGCCTCTGGCTGTTGGCGCTGTAATGAGCAATACAAGGTCTTACATACTTCCTATTAACCCTTCTGTTGTTTTATTTTATGTATATGGGCATTTTCTGTGGTTGGTGCCCACTGAGGCCAGAAGATCCGATCCTCTGGGACTGGAATTACAGATTGGCTGTGAGCTGTCAAGTACTAACTACTGAGCTACCTCCCCAACTCTGGTAATTTTTTGCTAAGTGCAATTCAATTTTTCTTAACCCAGTATTTTACCATCTCCAGTTCCTCCTCCTAAACTTTCCTTTACAAGGCTTCACTAAGTAGTCCAGGCTGGCCTTGAACTTCTCCATCTACCTCAGACTCAGATGTAGCCAGGAATGTTTGTATTACCATGTCCAGCTTTTCCAGCGTTTTATCTACTTTATTTGTTTAATTCTGGGTCAGCCAGCCGGGTGGTGGTGGTGGCACACGCCTTTAATCCCAGCACTCGGGAGGCAGAGGCAGGCGGATTTCTGAGTTTGAGGCCAGCCTGGTCTACAGAGTGAGTTTCAGGACAGCCAGGGCTACACAGAGAAACCCTGTCTCGAAAAGCCAAAAAAAAAAAAAAAAATCTGGACAAGTGAGATGTTCCATGTTACCCATGGACAGAGTCCAATTCCCAGAACCAATGATAGAATGACAGAAGGCATGAACCCATTTCTTAAAAGTTGTCTTCTGACAACCACAAGTGAGCCAACCCATAATAATAATTTATAATTATCAATAATAATGATGATAATATTAACAAAATGTAGAGTATTTTAAGAGACATGGCTTTTAATATGTTGCTCAGGATGGCTCTGAGGCTCAAGTTAGCCTCCTTCCTCAGTCTCTGGATGTACACACACCAGCACACCAGGCTGTAAGTGACATCAACTGGGAGTTTTAAAACATTTAAATGCATGTCCTATGTGTGGAGGTTAGAGAAAGCCTTGGGTAGCACCCTCAGGAATGAAAGTGTCTCTCGTTGGCCTGGAATTTGCTAGCTCTGGGATTACAACCACATGCTACCTTACCACACCAGGCATTTTTATCTGGATTCTATGGGGGATCCACTTCAGGTCCTCTGTGTGGCTACCCACACCTCAGACTCCTGGTGGCTTCAGACCCACTTCTTGTCTGCTCCCTCCCAGCTGGCTGTGAAGGAGGGGTGGGTCCTAGCTTGCCTGTCTCCAGGTCATCAGAGAAAGAAATGAGTGTCAGGTTCAGGTGGCAGCTGCTGCAGAGCACCTAGAATGCCATTCCTCTGGCACCCTGCTAAGAGGAACAGGACCCTGGGACACAGCTTCCTGTCTGCTGTGTGCTCAGTGTGAGATGCTACTAACTGGGTGGCCCAAGTCTTCCCCAGGTTCTTAGAGGTACATGTGGCCTTGCTGACTGCACTCACTGAGAGGGAAGGAAGCCTTGTTTTGTTCAGACTCCATCACCTGACTTTGTTCATTTCAAATGTCATTACCCGAGTTTTCAGTGCTGGCTCACTCATCAGGACAATGTCACAGCACTGTCTAGGGCAGTGGTTCTCAACCTTCCTGATGCTGTGACCCTTTAACACAGTTCCTCATGTTGTGGTGACCCCCAACCATGAAGTTACTTTGTTGCTACTTCATAACTATAATTTTGCTACTGTCATGAATCATAATATAAATATCTGATATGCAGGGTATCTGGTATGTGACCCCTGTGAAAGGGTCGTTTGACCCCAAGAGGGTCTGGACCCACAGGTTGAGAACTCCTGGTCTAGAAAGACCACTCACTTCGATATTTAAGTGGTCTCTCAAAGAAGTCCCCTTTCTCTTGTTCCCAGTAAAAATATTTATCTGTCACTCCTTAACCAAAGTATGTGATTTCCAGTTCCCTGTTCCGTCTAAGCTGCCATCGCAGTCGGCTTTCTGTTTCCTTCATGTATACCCACTCTGCAGGGCTCCCACAGCTTCTCCTTTACTCCTCTGGCCCTTAGGGTCTTAAAAAATTCTCTTATTCTTGACTCTGTGTGTGTGTGTGCATGTGTGTGTGACACTATCACATGAGCGGTGCCCACTGAGGCCAGAGGAGAGCCTTGGGTTCCCTGGAGCCGGAGTTTCAGGTCTGTGAATGAACCAATGTGGGGGCTAGGAACCAAACTCAGGCTCGCTGCCAGAGCAGAAAGCACTTTTAACCACCGAGCCATCTCTCCAGCTTCAATCTTAATCTTCTGGCTGTTTACTTTTTATTGTTAATGTTTTGTGGGGCCGACTGAGCCATCCCCACAGCGCCGTACTTTTGCTTTTTGCCAAAAGACTTTAACATCAATAAGCAAACGAGTTCCCTCAGTTCCCTTGTGAAGGTCTAAGTCAGTGGCTCTCAACCTTCCCAATGCTGCGGCCTTTAATATAGTTCATGTTCTGGTGAACCCTAACCATAAAATGAGTTTGTTGGTACTTCATAACTCTTTAATTTGCTACTGTTATGAATTATAATGTAAATATATGCTATGGCCCCCAAAGGAGCCGTGACCTACACATTGAGAACCACAGGTTTTGCTGAACACTGGCACTTACTATGTTATGGCAACCAACACTGTCTCTCATCACCAACTTCATTTCATTCACCAATTTATCATCTGTTTTAGTGGAAGACTTCTGATCCAACTTATACGTTCCCCATCTAGTTTTATCAGTGAGGAAAACATAGGAGTGTGTTCAATTGAAAGATGCTTCCCAACTCCTTAATTCATGTGTCCATGATGGAGTTCCTTCTGCCAAGTCATACTCAGGAGCTGTCTCCTTCATCAGGTCCCAAGCTGTTAAATGTGCTCAAAAACTGAATTGGCATCTTGCATATCTTGCCAAATGCGTGTGTACACACACACACACACACACACACACACACACACACACAAAATTTTATTCTGGGGCTAGAGAGATGGCTCAGAGGTTAAGAACACTTACTGCTCTTCCAGAGGGGCCCTCTTCTTATGTGTAAGCATACATGAAGTCAGAACACTATATATATAATAAGTACATTTTTTAAAAAAAATCTATAGATTTTTTTTCTGAAGTCCTGTGTGCGCGCACATGAGTTATTGCATACCACAAACATGTAGGAGCCTGTGGAGGCCAGAAGAGGGCGTCAGATCACCTGGAGTGAGTGGCGCATGTAGGTGCTGGGAACTGAACCTGGTCCACTGTAAAAGCTGTACTCACTCTTAACCATTGAACTAGTTCTTTACTTAATATTTTAAAATTAATTTTGAAACGTTAAATTTTGGCCCCAGATGGATATTTAATGTACCTTCAACCATGCCATTACCTTGTGTAGACCATTTCTGGCAGCTTCCCGATGTCATCCATGGCCACTTCACTGGCCTGAGGCATGCAAGTCCCCAGCCTTCTTACATTACTTTTATACCTAATGGAACTCAGACTGAAATGTCTTTTAAAAGTTCTCCGGACTAGAACTGACTCTGAGAGTCATACATTCACATAGACTTTACATCCGGGTCCCTAGTTGCAAAACCCCAAACCCTCCTAAATCAGAAAGTTGGCGAACTTCTGATTGGTGGTCAGAGTTCTGCATTTGGAGCATTTCAGGTGCTCAGCATGTAATTTTAATTTCCCAGCCTTTTCATTTGTGTTACCAATTGGCTCTTAGTATTCTGAATCCAGTAATCGTCCAATGTGAGCTTGTGTACTGTACACAATGCTCCCCAGGCTCCCCAGACCTGAAGTGCAGTTTAAGTGGGGCTGAGACCACATCAGTGCAGATGGATGCTAAACCCCTCTGCCCCAGCAGCCACCCACCACCCCACACTCCCCTCCTTGTGGGGCCAACCCCTTTATCATGGGTGCCCACAGGGCTTTGGGTTTTTTTTCCTACTGTTCGGAGACAGTGAGTTCAAAGGTTAGCTGGGGAGGGGAGACAACTGCATACCATACGACAGGGTCATGGTAGGAAAGTAGGCGTTTCTTCTGCTGTCATCTGCATAGTCAAGGACCAGTGTGAGGTTGGAAGGAGAAACCACTCTCACTCACTCCCTCACTCCGTGACTCTCCCCCACTGCTGCTGGCTCCTTTGCTCTACTTTTGCTTGTAAGGTGCTCTGCTCCCAGCCAAACACTCCTCTCTCAGGTGGAAACGGGGGAACACTTTATTAACATAATATTATGAGTTACTAATATTAAAAATAATAAATACATTTAAATAATAATATTTAAATATTTTAAGAATCTGCAAAAGAGAAGATGGGCCCCAAAACAAGATGGTGGGGAACAAGGGTGTTGCTCAGTGAGAAGCATTTGCCAGCAGGATTGAGTCTCCGGGTTCCATCTTTAGCAACACAGAACAAAACCTCCAAAAAAACAAGACTGGAGAAGAGACCCAGATAAAAGAAGGAGGGGCTGGGGAGATGGCTCAGTGGTTAGAGCACTTGTTGCTCCTGCAGAGCTCAGATCCTAGCACCCATGTGGCAGCTGGAAGCTCACAACCACCAGTAACTCCAGCTCCAGGGAACCCAGTGCTGGCTTCTGACCTCTGTAAACATCCATACTTTTGACATGCACACATACACAGAAATGAAAAAAATAAAAATACTTTAAAGAACAGACAAAGAAGGGCAAAGGGTGTGTGGCTGAGGAGTAGAGTCAAGAAGACCATAAAGATGGCGGCAGAAATAGCCTAGCACATCACCACCCTTGCTGAAAGCACCCAAGGAGCCCACTCTAAACGCAGAGTCAGTAATCGTCAGATAAGACAGCTTTTGGAGCAACTTGCTGCAACCCTTCTTTCCTCTGTACAATAAAGTCATAAAAAAAAATCACTGAACACATATCCCTGGCTGGAGCAGAACACAGGATCACAACGCTGGGCTTAGGAAGCCAAATGCCCCTCGATAACAGGCTCCGTAAGTGCCCACCTGCGCCCTCCCCTGCTTTCAAACGCCTCTCCAGCAGCCAGGCAGAGCCTACTTCCTCCCACTCTTCCTCTGCATCATCGCTCCCTCTCTGCTGAGCCCACTGCAGGCTGGGCTGGCTGATGACATGTCCACACTTCCTTCAGGGCGTGGGATATAGACACTTATTTTGAGAACCCGCATCAAACCCAAGGCGGCTTACAGTTCCTCAGCTGTAGCTGCCATCCTTCAGAAGGGCTTGGGTATTAGGCTGTGGGGTAGATTAGAATATGATAACCACACAACAACTGGTAGGGGAGAGAAAAATTATCGTGGCCAGGAAAACAGAAAAATATGGAATGAGATTAGAATCACTCAAGCAGCTGTAGCCAAGACAATGAGAATTTCCACTGAGCTGAAGAAACTCAGCCAATGTAGGGCTGGAGAGATCGACCGTGCTCCCCCAAACACACAGGGCCTTCTTTCTGGGGACCATATGTGCTCACGACACTCTTTTCTTTCCTAATACTATTTTGAGAATAACACGTGTCAAGAATTGGACTGAAGGGCCTCTGTGTAGTGGCCAGCTTGAGGGTACACATAGCTGCTACTCAGGCCTCACCATAAAGGTCTGGCTATGTCACACAGGCCCCTTCACTAGGAAAAAAAAACAGTCCCTTTCCATCAGACAACAGATGCCTAGGTGCTGTGGGCCCCGAGGTTACCAAGGCAGAGGTTACAAGGAAGTGAGCTGCCTGACAGGGAAACAGCAGCCATAGCCCAGAGGCAGTTTAAATACTGCTAAACAAAGCTTCCAGAGACTAAGCAGGATTCCTCTCCCAACAGCCCATCTTTCTGTTGCTCAATATCTGGGTTCAGGAATGGGCCAGCCTGTTCACTGCTGACTCCAGAGAGGAGAATCTGACATGCGGATGAAGATTCTGGAAAGAATGACTTGTTTCACACAGGCTCCAGGCCAGAGAAGATTCTGGCACTCTGACATGCTAAAATCTGAATAAACACCTGACTGCTGAGATCTACATTTGCTAGAGTGGGTCATGGTGGTGCACACTGTGGTCCCAGCGCTTGGGAGGAGGCAGGATAAACTTATCCCCAGTAAGTATAAGGCTACTCTGGTCTACATAGTGAATTCAGGCTAGCCAGGGCTACATAGCAAGACCCTGCCTGAAAAGTGAACTGAACCAAACCAAGCCTGTACTGGCTCAGCCATGCTCCTCCTGTCACATGCCATACGTGGCCTCTTGTGAATTTCTGAGCTGTGAACACGAAGCTAATGTACATTATCACACCGCTTCTCCACAGCCAGTGGCATCTTTGTGCTTCTAAGGCAGAACCAAGTTTTGGGGTACAGTGCTCCCAACAGCAACTCCAGAGAAAAGAACAAATACCTTGTTAAGAAATGCTAGCTGGAGTCACTGTGGCCAACACACAGAGGAAGCCCTTGGTCAGAATGGCAGCTTTGTTTTGTGATCAGAAACCAATTGGGGCTGGGGCTAGAGCTGTAGCTCAAGAAGAGTGCTTGCCTAGGGCTCATGAAATCCTGGGTTTGATCACAAGCACTGAATAAAAATGGTCACGATGGCGCATGCCTGCAGTCTCAGCACTCAGGAGACTTCAGGAGCATTTAGGGCAGGAGGATCAAGAGTTCAAGGTTATCCTCAACTACATAATGAGTTTGAGGATAGCCTGGGCTATACAAGGACATGAGCTATCCTATCGGCAAGGGGGACAACAGTGAAGGCAGATTATGGTTGTTGAGTGCAAGTTGTAAGGAACTGAGGGATTAGGCTGCAGAATTCTTAACAGGCAGACTCTTCACCCACCTAAATCATGGTGAGAAAAAAAAGAGAGACTTTTAACATTTAGGATGAAACAGAAAACTGCAGGCTGAAGCCCGCAGTGAGTTGTACTTGTGTTTTGGAACGAGCCCCAAACCTTTACACACAACTTCCTCGGCATGCTCCTGCTGACATTTCCTGACCGACCTTTCTCTGAGATCACTGTTGCCTTCTGTCCAGCTGCTAAGTAAAGGCAGACATCCTCTCAAGAACACCACACTTATTTGCCCTGCTACAGACTAAAACCTCAAAGTTGCTGTCGGGGAGTTCTCGGGAAAATGCCCATGGTGGATTTACCTGAAGGTCAGACAGATCTTGCAACCCTCCGAGTAATGAGTCAAATCTGGCCAGGGTAAACGTGCACAAAACTGCTTTCAGTGACTTGCGTTTTCCAGTTGGAGCATTGGGGACAGAGATCTGATGGGGGAAGGAAGCTTCCTACTGTAAAAGCTGAGAATCTGTGACTTAACAGGTCTGGCACGGGGGTCCTAATATCTGATCCCCCCCCCCAAGCTTCCAGAGTATGCCATAGGTTTGAAAGCCACCGTCCCCATTTACGTAACACGGAGAGGTCTTGGTCAGACAACCGGCATACTATCTACGGGTGGACCTCCTCTAAAGATCCGCGGGAGAAACCTCTCTTCCTCTCATTCCTGCGCAGAGTTGATCTTAGCAACCTTGTAAAACTTGTAGCTCCAGCGCCCAGAGCCCAACCCGCAGCTGCTTTTGAATGACCAGGTAGGACCCACCGGCGGTTCCGTGGGAGGGGCGGAAAGCCTGTGGGGTGGCATCTGGGTGCCTTGGCGACATCACCTGTCGCTCATCCTCGGAAGCTGGGTAAACAGGCAGCTCGCTGAGGTGTTGCGGGCACGCCACCGAGACGCCGCTTGGCCCGGTGCGTGTGCGCGCCCCGCGCTCTCGCCGTGCTCGGTCGGGCGCAGGTGGCAGGGCACCGCGCAAAGCCCGCACACCCCGCGCCCCCGCCGCGGCCCGCTCACCTGCAGTCGGTGGCTCTTGACTAGGTGCATGTTGAGCGCAGGACTGTTGGGCAGGATCTTGCCGCAGCCGCGCACGGTGCACAGAATATTGGTGCGTACAGCCCGGGACAGCTCGCTCACAGACGGCTGGATCAGCTCCCGGGCCGGTGGCACCGGGGCCGCGGCCCGAGCCCTGGCCGGTCGCGGTCGGCTGCCTTGCAGTCGCGACTCCGACGGCCTCCACGGGCTTGAGGCGGCGGCGGCTTCCCGCGTACTCGCCGGCGTGGCCGGGACACCCGGGGCCGGACCCGCAGACTCAGCCGCCGCCGCCTCCGTGGCCGCCATGGCTCCCGCACGGCCGCCAGGCCCCTCTCACTGTGCCCGCCCCCGCCGCAGCCACTTCCGGCAGGGGGCGGGGCCTCCGGGCTCATTAGCATCCGGCCGGGCGGCGGCCGCAGCGCCCCCAGCCGGCCGCGGCGAGCGCGTATTGGAGGTTGAAGTCCCAAGGGCTGGGAGAGCAGGTGAATTGGATGGATTCCATGGACCCACGCTTTCTTCTTTCTAGGGACCTGAGCTCAGGCAACAGCTGGGTAGAAGAAAAAGGGATGCTTTTAGGTTTAACCTTTTTTTTTGACCGTTGCTTTATTGTTATTAGGAATTAATTTTATATTGTAGACTATTTGATTAGCGTGCTTAAGGCCCTGGATTTGATCGGCAGTACTTTAAAAACAAAACCACTTATTTTTGAGGCCCCATCTGGCTTCAAACTCCCCATATAGTTAAGGAGTCCTTGAACTCCTGATTCTCTTACCTCTACCTTTCTAGTCCTGGGATTTTACTAAGCCTGGATGGTAGTGTTGAAGATTGATTGAACCCAGTGCCTTGTACGTGTACGCTGGCAGCTGAGCCCACTCCCAAAAGACTAATTATCTCTTAACTCGAAGACGGAAGAGTCTGAAGTAGATCTAGTCAGCTGAAAACAAGGTATCAGCTGGGCTTGTTCTTCCAAGAACTTTGCCTTTTCCAGCTTCTAGAGGTCACCTGCATTTCTTTGCCAATGGTCCTTCCTCCACACCAAAATCAATAATGAGGAGTTGAGTCTGTCACATTCCATAACAGACATCTATCCTCATTGTCACCACGCCTCCTAGTACATCGGACCTGGGTATCAACAGGGCCATCCGCTCAACTGCAGGGTCCCTTTGCCTTGGAAACATACTCAGACTCCAGGAATTATGAAGCAGACATCTTTGAGAATTGTTCAGAGTGACGTTAGGCTACTAAGTCTTGACTGCTGGATGGATAGTCATGTCAGAAAAATAAGGTTAGTAATGTGGCTGGAGATGGTGGCCCAGCTGTCACCACAGAACTCCAGGAAGCAGAAGCAGGACTGTTACAGGTTCGAGGCCAGCTGATACAAAGCACACGTGTTCTAAACATTGCCCACTCCCCAAAGGTCAGAATGTTGCCTGCTTACAAGAGCGTGGCAATGAGTTAATGATGTAAGCCCCACAGTGCTTACCCTGGGTCAAGTGCTCCATAAACAGCCATCATTCTGGGAACTGGTGGTCGGGATGAGAACGGCTGTCATAGGCTTATCATGTTTGAATGCTTGGTTCTCAGTTGGTGGAACTGTTTAGAGGATTAGTCAGTGTGCCTGTGTTGGAGGAGGTGTGTCCCTGGAAGGTGGGCTCTGAGGTTTCAAAAGTCCACTCCATTCCCAGTTCCCTCTCTCTGCCTCATGCTTGTGGTGACTAAGGTATACGCTATTTTGGTTACTTCTCCAGCATCGTGGCCGCCTGCTAGCTGCCGTGTTTCCTCCGATGATGGGTCTTGGACTTTAATCTTCTGGAACGGAGAGCACCCCCACCCCCACCCCCCTTTCAATGATTTCATTTAGAAGTTGCTTTGGCTGTGGCGTTTTGTCACAATCAGAAAGCAAGACAGGGGTTCTACTGGCACAGTTCTGACTGTGAAAGTCTCTTTGGCTTTGCGTTTACTGCAGGGTCTACTCCCAAGCATTTGCAGATGGCCAGTTAACAGGTAAGTTTGAGAAGCCTTGAACTTTCTTAAACAGGAGCCTCCCTCTGGGAGGTCTGCAGGAGGCAGCCCGCTAGAGGTGGGATCCGATAGGTCTTTCTCGTTTAAAGATTCCAGGTCTTTATTCCTGCCAACTGTACCAGGGAGAGCTACGTAGTAGAATCAATACCCCAGGAAGTCCAAGGGTTTCTGCAGTTCCTATTCAGCCATTCAGGAACCTCGTGGGCAGAATGCTCTCTTAGTATGTGACTGGTGATGACAGTGGTCAAAGGGACCAGAGGGATGGCTCTGTGGTTAAGAACGCTTAATGTTCTTACGAAGGACAGGTTTGATTCCCAGCACCCAAATGATGGCTTTCAACCATCCACAGCTCCAGTTCCTGAGGATCAGGCACGAATGTGGTACACATACATAAAAAGCACCCATACAAATAAAATAAAATCCCCCTCCCGCAACGGTATGAATGGGGGAAATGTCTTTAAGCCTTAGTTAGGGTTTCTATTGTTGTGATAAAATACCATGACCAAAAAGCAAGAAGGGGGAGGAAAGGGTTGATTTGGCTTATACTTCCAGATCACAGTCCATCACTGGAGGAAGTCAGGACAGGAACTCACACAGGGCAGGAACCTGGAGGCAGGAGCTGATGTTGAGGTCATGGAGGAGTACTGCTTACTGGCTTGCTCCTCGTGGCTGGCTTAGCCTGCTTTCTTATAGAACCCAGGATCACCAGCCCATCTCACACATCAATCACTAACTAAGAAAATACCCGTCAGGCTCGCCTACGGCCTGATCCTATGGAGGACCTTTCTGAACTGAGGTTCCCTCCTTTCAGCTTGTATCACGTTGACATGAACTAGTCAGCACAAAGCCCAAATACTCAGATCACCGGGGGGACAAAGGAAGCGCCTGGCATGTCTAAAAACGGTTTCATATTGGATGATCCACAGCCTGTACACATCATAGTATAAGGCATTACTTAGTCCTTTCATGACCACTTATGCATTCTTTTTTCGAGACAGGGTTTCTCTGTGTAGCCCTGGCTATCCTGGAACTCACTCTGTAGACCAGGCTGGCCTCGAACTCAGAAATCCACCTGCCTCTGCCTCCCAAGTGCTGGGATTAAAGGCATGCGCCACCACTGCCTGGCCCATTTATGCATTCTACTCAGCCTGTTTGAATTTCATCCAAGGCAACTGATACGTCAGTTTGTCAATATCTTTATTCACAAATCAGTGTAACAGTGATGCTTAGTTTCAGTGTTCCATGGACAAGAAAGAGAACATGAAAAGCTTATGAAGAATAGAAAAGTTATTTTACACAAAGAAGCCATTCAATATGCAGCCTTATATAGTAGCCCCCAGCTCCCCTGATTCTGCTGGTTTGGGGGTGGGTAGTTTCTTGGTTCTTCTATCTGTGAGTGAGGGTATAAGAGAGATTCCACAGAAACAGACTTCCGAGGATAAGAAGTAACAGCAGTGGGAGAAAGGACGGTAAGGGTAGGTGCCTACAGATTCAACCACTGTGCCTATGTGTGACTTCTGTGCGTGCCAGGGTTGAGGTCAACCTGCAGCCTCGTGTGCGTGTGTTTATGTATGTGCTCCTGCATGTGCGTACACGTATTTGTCACTTGTCAAATGCACACAGCTGCTGTACTTAACAGAAGACAGTGTGCATACATAGGGAGGGCAGATTCAGTCCTAACAGTTCATTAAAAACATTGAATTCCAGTGCCAACGATTGGTTTTTTAAAACACAAGATTGTATACAGAAGCTAGCCAGCTATAACTGGAATTGCATGTGCAATAAAAGCTAAGCCATAGATATTTCATTTATCTCTGATTTTAAAATAATTCATTTTCTTGCGTGGTATGCAGGTAAGCAGTGGAGAAAGTGGTGCATCTGCTATGCCTGAAAAAAAGAAAACAAAACAGAAGAATGATCACGGGGACAGTCAGTTGAAAAATGGCTAAGATCAGAAGCAAGTTATGGGCACCTTCTCCTCCCCCCACTAGCTGCGGAACCAAAAAGGGCTTAGCGGGAAGCAGACTGGAGAGGCAGGAATGCCCAGAGGTACCCAGTACAGGTGAGCAGATGCTGTCTTCCGAGAAGCAATAGCTGCTGTTGGTATCTGGCTGGCTTATAGCTGTCCACTTACCGGCTGGTGCTAAGGATTTCAATGCTTCCAAAAGATGTGGACTGGAAAACTTTACAAGGCACCGGAGCGGCTCTTTCCTGTCGGCCAAGATGCCCCCAGCTATGTCACTCTTGAACTTGGTTTCCAGCTGTCAAAAAATATATTTGTAAACGATGGTTAAGTCGTGGGATCAGCTGGGATGGTGAGAGCTCATGAACAAATTATGTATTTCATTAATTCCTACACATGGAGTAATACAGGCAAGGCCCATTTAACTGCATAGACAGAAAGCGTCTGGTATAGGAAAGATATCCCACAGAAAGTGCCAGCATTGCACCTGACTCACAGCTCAGAGCTGCCCTCAGCATAGCATCCTACCTGTGGAAGAAGCCAAAAGTCTGTGCTGCCCTCAGGCGCCTGTTACATTCTGCATTCACATAAAAGCAATAAATCTCAGGGCTGGAGGAAGGGCTCAGTGGTTAAGAGCACGTGCTGTTCTTGCAGAGGACCCGAGTTAGATTCCTAGTACCCATATGGTGGCTTATAACCATCTGTCCCTAACTCCAGTTCCAGGGGATTCTACACTCTGGCATCTACACACACACACATCCAGGCAAAACACTTACACACACACACTTACACACTTACACACACACACACGCCTTAGATTTTTATTAAGAAGACTCAAACATGACTAGAAGCTGGTTATAGTAGCACATCCTTATAATCCTAGCTCCTAGGAGAATGAGTCAAGGAGGAGTCCATGTTTGAGGCTAGACACTATCTCAACAGCCAAATACACCTGAGAGCCTCTCAACCCAACCACATCACCCAGAAGGTACACACTGTGAGTCCCATGTGTGTATCATCCAGCTGATCCTGTTACCAACAGCTCTGGGTTCATCTGTTACAAACCAAACCCCCAAACTTAAGTGATTCTTAAAACTTGAGGCACTATGCTGAAATATCTGCAGGATGTTTAATGTTTGCAATAAATTCAAATTGTAGCCACCGGTGAGTTAATGTGGACAATTGCCTCAGTATTATTCTAAGCCGTCTTCTGAGGTTGGAGAAAATCAGGAGTGAGGAAATGACTGCACACCTAGCCTAACAGAACCCAACCACTCTAAGATGTTGAGCAAGCAACACAGTGGCTCTCCAGGTTTAGTGTGCAGCCAGCTGAGAGCAGCCAGGAGCATCCCAAAACGGATGGCTGGGCACACCTCTCTTGAACCAGGAGGAACAGGGTGGAGCTGGGAGCTATGCCTCCTCCCCATTCCCAAGTGACTGGTTCCAGCACTCCAGAGACCACACACTGAGAGCTACTGTCCACGATTATGAGCTCTTTAAAGCTTAGCTAATACTACATAGCTAAGAGTGGTGGCCACACCAGTGACAGGAAGGAAGCAGGAGGGTCAGAAGGTCAAGGGCAGCCTTGGCTACATAGTGAATGTGAGGCTTTCCTGGACTACAAGACCTTGTCTGAAAAACAAGCAATCTGACTGGAAAGACGGCTCAATGGGTAGTATGCTGCAGCTTGAACATTACTACCTGAGTTAGGGTCCCCAGGACCCATGGAAAAGCTAGCTGTGGTGGCATATATGTATAACCTAGCACTTGGGAGGAAGACAGAGACAGGAGGGAGTTGGGGCTCCCCTCAGCCAGTCTAACTGAAACGGAGCTCCAGGCTCAGTGACAGACTCTGTGTCAGAGTACAAGGACAAAAACTATCCAACCTTGACCTTTGGCCTTCCTAACTGTCAGCATACGTGGAAAAAGCTGGTGCATTCGACTTAATAAATAAACAACCTCTTACAACCCACTTGAAAATCTCCAACTTCTTCCTTTGAAAACAAATCAAAACAAACTGTCTTTGGGTCTAAGTGAGCAGATCAATGGCAGATTTTAAGTGTGTCCTGTAGCTGTAAGAAGATTCAATGGGAACAATTTTATTGGGGTTTGGGAAGGAAGGTATTCTGAGTAGGAGCATGGGCTCATGTTAGGGTGCCTGTGACAGTTCTGACGGTGGCTCTGGACTTGTGCACTGTGTCTCTACACAGCCACGCGATGGGCAACAGCAACTCTCTGGAACAAGTTTAATTTCCAGTATATTTACACTACTGATTTTTCTTCATCAGATGCCAATCAGCTGAGTAGGATATATGCTTTCTCTCTTCTTGTTTTTGGGTTTCTGAGTCAGTCAGTCAGTCAGTCAGTCAGTCAGTCAGTCAGTCAGTCAGGTTTGCCTCCAAGTTGCCAAGTAACCAGGCTAGCCTTAAACTTGAGCTCTTCCTGCCTCAGTCTCCTAAATGCTGGGATTACTGGTGTGTGCCACCATACTCAGCTTATTCCAGTATGTATGTATGTATGTATGTATGTATGTATGTATTTATTTACTTATTTATTTATTTATTGGTTTTTTTGAGACAGGGTTTCTCTGTGTAGTCCTGGCTGTCCTGGAACTCACTCTGTAGACCAGGTTGGCCTCAAACTCAGAAATCTGCCTGCCTCTGCCTCCCAAGTGCTGGGATTACTGGTGTGCGCCACCACCGCCCGGCCATTCCAGTATTTATGATCATTTACTGTGTGCTAAATACTGTTCTGTGTGTGGATAAGCTAGTAAGGTATAGACCTCCTCACTCTCCACAGCCGGCAATATACAACTGAATTACTATGAAGACAAAATGCAAAAGCAAATTCAGAATTCCATGATGTCTCCTTTGCTAACAAGAGAATTTAGAGAATATAGAAAAGATGTAGGTAACTTATAAAAGAGAATAGTTTTTGGACATGTTTTCAATTACAGTTCCTGTGCCTAACTTGCTGGTGATGTCCACTGCACCATCCTACCTTATACTGCGCGAACTCTAGCTGTGGCTGAGGATAGGCTCCAAAGGTCTCCTGAGTGACTCTGTGGATTCTCACTCTTTCTTCTGTGTTTTCATGAATGATCTTTGAGTTCGCTGTGGAGGGGTTCAGATTAAGAGTGCCATTAGGAATGCACTTCACCCTACAGACCGGTCTTCCCATTTCTAAACCTGCAGATGGTTTGTGTAGCTCAGATGTGTCCAGTGCCTTCTTCTCACTGAGATAATATTATTACAGAACAGCTGGAAAGCACAGGCTGACATAAGCGAGTAAGCAATCCCAACAGTGCCATCCCTGTTTGGGTTGTCATACACTTCCTGTGTAGCCTCCTTACAGGAACCATGAGTAAATCTGCACCATGCTTCTGTACTTAGTGCTGGGAGCCAAACCCAGGAAACTACCTGCTGTCCTAAGAGAACCTAGGAGGTTACCTGCTGTTCTAGAAAGCCTAGTCAGTGCAAGGTTAAGAAAGGACGTTCAGGGCTCTTAGGCCCCAGGAACTAACGCCTGGCATTTCCTGGGAGCCGGTTATGACAATGGGATGGTCTATGGCAATAAGCATTCAATAGTGGGAGAGCCCTAAGCAATGACCCTCACCCAAACTTCCTGGTTTGCTGTGTCTTTATAACCTGCACCCAAAATGAAAGTTTCAGAGCTTGATCAGAACTCCAGACTTGCTCTCATTCCTTGTGTCTCTTATCCCTTCATTCTTTCCAACCCTTCCCTAAGGTCTCGCTGAATCCCCGGGGGCCGGCGCAACTTAGCATGGGACCAACGGCAGGTCTTAGGCCTTTGGAGTCTAACAGTCTCTGTTCCTAACATCAGTTTTATATCCCTCCACTGCTAATCTTGAGTTTAGGTTTTCTAGGGAGAGACTCGGGTTCTCCTGAGTGGCAGCACAACCACCATATTATTCTAGAACCAGCATACTCGTTAGGAGCATACTCATTAGGAGCATGGACTCCACCTTGGACAGACCTAGCTCTGCCATCCTGCTTTGAGTTACCGGGCCTTCCTGAAACTCGCTTTCCCAGAGGACAGTGCTTCTTCAAAGGACAGCTATCAATCACAAGCAAACATTGTGGTATGCTGCCGGGCATGAAAACATTCTCAGTGACTGGCAGCCATTTTAGGAAATTCTGAAGGACACCTGTGGTAGCTTGGCTTTCTGCCTTTGAATACTTAATTCTTTTTTTTTTTTTTTTTTTTTAAAGTATGAAACAGCTCTGCAGTGAGATCCTAGCACAGATGCACAGCTGCCATCTGAAAGCAAAGACGCCCATCCCAGGCCCAGCTCTGTCTCAGAGCACACATACAATTTATCTCTAGTCCAAGGCTTTCTTCATGCAGAGACATTGTGGAGTTGTAATTTTCAAAGGTCTGGGAGAAAGAAAGAGAACAAGTTACCGATTTGAACATGTTGGGGTAAGACATTAATTAATTGGTTCTAAGGTGTAAAATGTGTTAAATCTTAGTTTTTTAAAAAGTGGTCTTGTATTCTTTTTTTTCTTTTTTCTTCTCTCTCTCTCTCTCTCTCTCTCTCTTTCTCTCTCTCTTTTTGTTTTTTTGAGACAGGGTTTCTCTGTGTAGCCCTGGCTGTCCTGGAACTCACTATGTAGACCAGGCTGGCCTCGAACTCAGAAATCTGTCTGCCTCTGCCTCCCAAGTGCTGAGACTAAAGGCGTGCACCACCACTGCCTGGCTGTGGTCTTGTATTTTTATATTCTTACTAAATAGAAAGAAGCAATGGCTCTGCCACAGGCTGGCTAAACTGAGCATAGCTCATAGGACAGCAGGCCGTGCAGCATGGCTGCTTGAGGAGCCGGTGTAACAATGCGTCTTGGGCAAAGGACGTAACATAATGTTAGAGCATCTGCCTAGCAAATGTGAGGCCTTGGGTTCACCCTAGTAGCAAACCAAACCCCGTCAAGGTGCAGGGGCTACACGAAATCCAGAGGAATGAGGGTCAGCATCATGTCTTCATACCCCAAAAATCTCTCAGGGGCCTTTTAGGAAAAATAACTTTGCTCTCAGAGCCCACATTTCTGAATCTCACGGGAGTGAGCAACAGTTTCCCAGCTTGGCAGCTAACATGTGACCTCTAATAATGGTCTGGCTGCACCTCCAGACAGCAGTTGATGTCTGCTTGGCAGGAGGGTGGAGGGCAATGAAGGGGCAGTCAGGGAGAAAACCGTCCTCTAACTTCTTACCAGGCCAGCATGGCAACCCATGCCTGTCATCCCAGCACTTGGGAGGCAGAGGCCTCAGCTAAGTAATAAGTTTAAGGCCTGCCTGGGGTATACAAGATCCCATCCTAAAGCTCCCAACAAAAGGAAACATTATTTTCCTTTTTAAAGGGAAGAAGCATTTGTTTTGGTTCACAGAGGTTCCTGTTTCTAGTGGCTGAAGTCACAGAGGCAGAACCTTGAGGCAAAGGTTCTCCCCCTTAAAGAGTGACTTGTGATAGCCATCACTTCTTTTTAGCTAGAAAGATTTCCTCCTTAAGGAATTCCATTCATCTACACTCTGAACATATGCAAACATTTGCCATATACAGAAGAAACCTTAAGACCATAGGGGCAGACCTGTCCTTATCATTAAATGGAAATACCAGCATCCAAACAATTCATCATTCCAAGTAGGAGAGGGAGGGGCTCACGAGGCCCCACCCCTTTCTGAGGAGGAGCTAATGGGCAGTTTCTAGGCAGTTAATGGCTGCTGGGGGGGAGGAGTCATACTCCACACCCATGCTCATGCAAGCAGCCCTAATTAAATGCAGCCAACTCCAAAGCCCCTCCCTGCCTTCCTGCCTTCTCGGCCTTCCCCGTGAAGACAGAAAGGGGTCCTGTTGGGAAGAAGGGGTTTGGTGGGATGAAGACAGCACTAAGAGAGGATAACGGCCTCAATATGATCAGAGAACATTGCGTACGTATGAAATTGTGAAAGGGTAAACTCACATGAACAAAATGAGGTGACGAAAAGCTTCAGCCACTCACCTTCGGGGATGGGTTGGGAGTGACCTCCACCTATTTCTCGTGTGCAAGAGAAAAGGAAATGTCAACTTGGCAGAGTTGCTGACTGGCTCACCTGATTATACTCTCTAAAAGCAATAGCCTTGAGGGAGTCCAGGTGCCTGCTTCTCAGATCCAACTGCACAATCTGCTGGTGCTTGCTGGCAACTTTCAGTGCCTTGGAGGGGAAGGAGCGAAACCGTTAGGGCTGTAGTGTTTCTACACATGCTGCTCAGTGAAATGCAGGCGCTGCAACTGAGAATGCTCAGAGTCCTGTGTGGGGTGCAGTACACACCTGAGACCCCGGCCCCAGGGAGGCTGAGGCAGGGGCGAGCCCTGTCTCAAAACACCCCCCCCCAACTCTTGCAAGTGAGAAGAAATGTAACCCTATCCCCTACTCACTTGTGGGACCCCAAGGCCTGCAGCCGACAGTGGAGTGAGCTGCATTACCAGAGAGAGCTGTGAGGGGAGCCATGCAGCCAGCTGCAGAGCTGCTCACCTGCACCCAGCCCATGCAGGGACTCTGGAAGCACAGAAGATGCCAACAGGGGAGGAGTAATGACTAGCCCAAATTTGGGATGAATTATTTTTGAGAAAGAAGCTAGGACACCCATACACAGAAGTGTGCTTTGAATAAGAATGGCCCCCACAGACTCCTACACTTGAATGCTTAGACCAGGGAGTGAAATGTTTGAAAGAATTACAATCATTACAAAGTGTGGCTTCCTCGGAGTAGCTGTAGGAAGTGTGTCACTCGGGGTGGGCTTGAGGTTTTAAAAGCCCAGTCCCAGGCTCCATGTCCCCCATCCTGTGAATCAGGATGTAGCTCTCAGCTACTAGTCCAGTGCCATGTGTGCTGACAAGCTCCCCACCAGGACTGTAATGGACCAAACCTCTGACATGGTAAGCAAGCTCCCAAGTATATGGTTTTTGTTTTTTTAAATAAGAATTACCTTGCCGGGCAGTGGTGGCGCATGCCTTTAATCCTAGCACTTGGGAGGCAGAGGCAGGTGGATTTCTGAGTTTGAGGCCAGCCTGGTCTACAGAGTGAGTTCCAGGACAGCCAGGGCTACACAGAGAAACCCTGTCTCGAAAAACCAAAGGAAAAAAAAATTGCCTTGGTCCTGGTGTCTCCATACAACAATACAATAGTGAATAAGACACGAAGGCGAACAAAAGAGATAGGCTACCTCTAACATGGGCAGTATTTCCATGTACACTATGTGTGGAAAATGGACATAAATGTCAGTGGCCATCAATAGGCAGACTGTAGAAATACAGAAAACACTAATCCCGCCACTGGCAAAGTGACAAGGAGTTTGGGGTGAAGTAGAAAGAAGGGGTAGAGAGTTTTGACGACTCATCTTTTACCTTTAGGGACTTGCTGGTTTTAATATTAAGCATGCGTTACTTTTACACTGACAATAAAGACTAGATCAAGGTAATACCTTCCGTGGCATTTCTGATGGAGAAAAGCTCTCCTTAGGAGAATGGGAGTAGCTATTTGATTTATCTAGGTATGTGGTTTCTATCTACATGGACCCTTGAGATAAGGGTACTGAGCACTCCTGCTGCTGAACTCTGTTCCCTACCTGATGGAGAAGGGGCAGAGTGCTCTTCAGATGGCAGGAAGATATGAAGGCATACGGAGTCTGGGGATAATACACCACAAACGTGGGCTTGTACTGGTTTGGTTGTAAATACTGTGTTCCCCAGGCAACCCGAATCCACACCGAGTTCTCGTAGACTCTGAAGCTGACTGTGACCTGATAAAGAAAAGATGTTTTCCTGGTTAACTTTCACCACAGCACCAACTACAGGCATCTGAGACACAATCAATGTTAGTACAATTTTTCAATGCACCTGGGCAGAGGCAGGCAGATCTTTGTGATTCTGGCCAGCTAGCGAGATCCTATCTCAAAACCAAAACAAACCGAAGGGGAGGGGGTGGCTTTCTAGAAGCCTTTTTGGCATTGTAGGCTCACACACTTAGTTTGTCCCTTTGCTTACAGCAGGATTCCCGTGTGGCAATGAACCCTGAATGCACTGATCCTGACGCATGCGTCTCAGCAGCCAGAGCCATTTAGGAATGTGGGGCACAGGAGGATGTGTGGTGTCCATTTCACAGCCAGCATCAGTCTTTCTAAACTTGCAGCTATGACTGGACTTGCTCTGGAATTCAATGGCACTGTTAGACCATCAGCTAGCTCCAGTCCACGTCTGGGCTCTGACCCAGGAGAGGGGAACCCGAAGAGAGGGACAGTGAGCTCGCTGTCTTCCCTCCGGGATCGTACTTCAGGAAGAGCAGGTTGCTCTGCTATCTGCTAGGCTGCATTTCCTGATCCCCTGGTGCAGTGACGAAGAACTCTCCCCGTCTGGGCTGTGGGTTTGCAGAACAGTGTGTCATCCCTTGGTGAGCAGCAGAGAGTGTGCTCTTCTTTGGGGCTAAGTGGCCCCTAATGGCTGGAACAGCAGAGCGTCTTACTGGAGGCAAGAGTGACCGATGACCAATAGCAGAGCCACTAGCCACATGTGGACCATCGAATGGGAATTCATTAAGTAAGGTTAAAGATTCATGTGCTCGGTCCCATCAGCCACCTCTCAAGTCCTCATGTGGCAGCCAGCTATGAACTGGACATTGTCAACAGAGGGTGCTCTTGCCACAGCAGAGTGCCACTGGACAGTATTGCTCCTAAGAAGCACTGGGTGGGATGGGCAGGTGAGAGATGAAGTACTGTCTCAGTTTGTTAAGGTAAAATGGCAGATTATTCCCCGCCCCTCCGCTTCCTAGATATCATTAAACTGAATTTCGGACAAATCTAGGAGGACTTAGATTCTTACATTTTTTAATGCCCTCTGTAGAATTCTCTTAAAGGATCTTTGGAACTGTTCCATATCAAAAAGGTCGACATCTTCTCCTGTCAAAACACAGAGATATAGAAGTAAGTTAAGCGAGGTACAATGTCTTTGTCCCCAGAGCAGTAATGACCATACCACACCCACGCTTCTGATAGTACCAGGGGATACACATGAGGAATAGTCACATCTTTGCAAAAGCCTGAGAGCAGATGGCTATGCTGGGTGTGGTAGCACACACCTGCCATCTCATCACTCTGGAGGCAAAGGCAGGAAAACCACCACAAGCTCCAGACTAGCCTTGTCTACACAGTGAGTTCAAGGCCAGGCTTGCCTACACAGTGAATTCTAGACTAGCCTATGATACACAGGGATACAATGGCTTAGAAAAGAAAATAAACCTTCCACCAAAAAAAGACATTTCCTACTCATTTTTAAACTGCCAAAACACCAATACAGATGTTTAATTTAAAGCAGAAAACATTACCTGGTTCTTTACTCATCTGAAAGACATTCCAAAGCTTCTGGTGCCGATGAAACTGAGTAGCTGAGAGAGAAGGCCTTACAGTTAGTATCGTGTCTTAGGACTTTGAAGTGTGTGCTGATACACATATATTCATTTTTTAAACTCCATATGTGTTAGATGACATGGACATTTTCGAACACAGTGTGTTTTTGTGGTTCTCCTCATCCTCCAGCAAGTACATATTTTTAATACTGTACAATAATAGTAACCAATGAATGAGGTGACACAGCTTTGAAACAGAAGTTCAAACCTAAAAGACTCAAAACATAAACTTTAAATGGGGCAAATTCATTGCAGACAAATAAATCCCAATTATTCAACTCAACAAAGATGATAAGAGTTCAGTTTTAGTATTTATCCTCACTTCTGACAGGTTGTTATTTTTATTTATTTTAAGTGGGCAGAGGTATCTTCTGTTTATGGGTGTTTCACCTGAATCTATGTCTGTCTGTGCGTGTGAGTGCTTGGTGCACATGGAGGCTAGGAGAGGGCAGAGGGGCCCTTGGAGTGGAGCTGCAGGTGGTTGTAAGGCACGGTGTGGGTGCTGGAAACTAAGCCTGGTCTTTTGGAAGAACAGCGAGTGTTCTTAATGACAGCCATCTCTTCAGCCCTTCATTTGTCATTTTAACAAACATCTGCTAAGCAAAACCCAGTACACACCCACAAGCTGGAATGACTGAAGCGGGTGTCACTGCTGGCCTTGAGGCCTGAGGCCTCTTCTCCAGTTCCTCAGACACCTCACTTTTCACCTTCCTCAGCAGCTACCACTCAGTGGCCCACACTCATTACACTCAAACCACACCTGGGTCCCTCCAGGGCACTTGTGAAGAAGAGGGACTTGTTCAGTGCTACCACCCCTGCTAACCCAGCCTGCATAAAGCCCTCACTATGTGGAATGAAGGCAAGAGTAAGTGTGTGGCTTATCTGAAGGGTAAGATGCCCTTCAGAAAGCAAGAAGATCTGGAGCAGGAATGGGGGCCAGCAAGCTCAGCTCTTTCCCATCATCCCTCTGGATTCAAACTGTCCCTGTGCTGATCTCTGTGTCCTCCCCTCAGGCCAGGCTTTCTAATCTCTGAGGGGGATATGGACTCATCACTCAGGGTACTATCAACTTTGGCATCAGTGTTCTCCTTGTCTTTCCTACATCCTGCACCTTTTTCTCTCCTGAGCCTGCATGTCCCCATGTCCCCGTTACTGGCCCTACTATTTCCTTCATGGCAGTGGGCCTGGCAACAGATCACTGATTGATTGGTGTCAAAAAAGGCAAAGAGTGACGCCAGCCCCCGAAGCTTTTTGTCTGGCTTGCTCTTTCTCTTTCTTTTCTTTCTTATCCTCCCTCCCTTTCGTCCTTTCTCTGATCCTGTCTTATCTGGTTCTGTGTTTAGAGCTGGGAAGACTTGCTAACTGGCCTCTGAGTAAGACTGCTGCAGCAGAGTCAGAGCTCTTGTCAAATGAAGCTCTGCCTCATGTCACCTACAAGGTGACCACTGGGGACTTAGATACAGATGGAGGCAGCTTTCCCTGCAATAGGCACACACTAGCTTATCCCACACCCGTGAAGTATCTGACAGACCTGCAATAGGCACATGCTAGCTTACCTCACACACCCGTGAAGTATCTGACAGACCTGCAATAGGCACATGCTAGCTTACCCCACACCTGTGAAGTATCTGACAGACCTGCATCTGCAGTTTCCACGTCACCAAGGGGAGGTCCCCAGCTCATGTGTAGATGCAGAGTCCTGCAAGCTCACCCCACTTGTCTTCGTCCCTGGGTTGGGTGTAAGCCCCTTCTATGCCTTGGCTCCCACCCTCCTCTCTCCTGACTACCACCTCATGTGGGCTGCCGCCCTCTCTTGCTTACACCTCTCCAGAAGATCCCAGACGAGTCTGACTCCTCAGCATCCCTGGTCTCTCTTGTGCTGTAACCAGCATGATCTCACAGAAACCAGGCACCTCATTGTTTTGGCTCAGAACCGGTCCAGGGCTGACATCATTAGGAGAGATACTGAGAGCCTTCTAGTGGCTTCCAAGTCTCTGTGTTATCTCAATGTTCCCCTCCACTGAAGGCCAGCTTGCCTCTGCTCTTGTATCTCAGGTACTCTTCTCCCACCCCATCCCTGGCAGCTCCCCCTCCTCAGCTTCTCTGCTCTGCCTGGCTAGCGCCAACTCATCTTTTGGCTCTAACTTGAATACCATCTCCTCAAGGAAGCTTCCTTACATGACCACTGAAAAAGAAGTCCCACTGTGCTCCTTCACACACTAGGTATCCTTGAGATAGGTAACCTTTCTCCTCATGTAAATCCCAGCCAGTAGCTAAAGCCTGTGAGTCACCTGCTCTGCTCACAAGTGTTCTGTGGATCTACCTTTTCTTTCTTTCTTTTTTTTTTAAAAAAAAGGAAGGAATAATTTTTGTTTTATGTGGGTATGTCTACACGCATGTAAGTGCACAGTGTGTGGGCCCGGTGCCTCAGGAGGCAAGAAGAGGTTATCAGAGCCTTCGTAACTAGGGTTAGAGACAGCTGTGAGCTGCTGTGTGGATGGCGGCTAGAACACAGGCAGCAAGTACTCTTAACTGCTGAGCCATCGCTCCAGTCCTGCTTCGCAGGCAGATTCAGCCATAGCACAGCTGGAAAAAAGTCGACAGAGACGATTCTTTTTACACTTCCAGTCACATAGGCAATGTACGTACTGGTTAGTTTTCTGTCAACTTGACACAAGCTAGGGATATCTAAGGAGAGGGAACCTCAACTGAGAGAAAATGCTTGCATCAGACTAGCCTGTCAACAAGCCTGTGGAACTTTTTTGATTGATATGGGATGGCCCAGCCCACTGTGGGTGGTGCCACCCTTATGCACATATCCTTGGGCTCTATAAGTAAGCTGTGATGAGAAGCCAGTATGTAACAGTCCTTCATGGTCTGTTGAGAGCCTTCGGTGCCGCTTTTAGGCATTTGGCATTTGTCACTGGGCTCAGACAAGGAAGTAGGCTCAGATAAGAATATTAGAAACAGTGACCATGGAGCTTTGTTTACTGCTTTACTGAATTGCTACCTTATTGGTCCCTTTGTTTACTACTTTGCTTGATTCCTACCTTGTGTGATCTTTTTGTTCACTACTTCGCTTGATGACTTTGTCTTTGATCTAAGAACTCACCATGGTTTTTGGATGTACCTAGAATGATATAAAAGCAGGCTGGCGAGAAAAAAAGCTGCTTCAGCCTCAGCACTGGCTGGAGTCATGTTATAACTCTAATTGTTTTTCTTCTTTTCAATCCTCACTCCCTCCCTTAAGACCCGGTTGACTGACTGAGCTCGCTTGGTCAATGGTCTTTTGCTTCAGTTCTTGCTTCCAGGTTTCTGCCCTGAATTTCAACCTCATGATGGACTATAAACTGAAATAAAGTGGCCTTCTCCTCCCCAGACTGCTTTCCATCATGGTTTTTATCCCAGCAATAGAAAGAAAACTAGGACAATATAAAATGACAACAAATTAGTTTAAAAAAAAAACATAGGCTCTGGGTCAGAGATGGTTCAGCTGTTAAAGGCACCAGCTGCCGAGCTTGGCAGCCTGAGTTTGTTCCCTGGGGCCCTCGAGGTAAGACAAGAGTTTACTTCAGGTACCTGTCCAGATGTCCACAGGTGTGCCACTTGTGTGCCCCTTCCAATCAGTAAAATGTAAGGAACAAACTGCTTCTATCCAGAGAAACTGCTTCTGTTCCAAGGGCTTGACCTGCAGTTTCATCTGATTCCACCACAGCCTTTCGTGAGTACGACCATTATTAAACCCATTTGCCAGAAGGAAGCAGCAAGGCGAGCGTGTGAGCCACCCTCCCCCAGCACTTACAGGTCAGCAATGATGGAGCCATGAAACCGACCCAAGCAATCTGGTCTTCGGGTCTATGCTCTTTAATTTTAGTAAGTGAATTTTGATGAAAATTAAACCCAAGAAGTAGCAAAGACGTGAGAGCTGGCACTTAGGACAAATTCTCAGTGGTGCATTTTCACATGAGTAACACAGCCGACTGACCAATGGATGCTTTCCGCTCATGATGGACCAGTTCCTGTCTCTAAAGGTCCTGAGTTTCCAGTCCTAAAGACAGGGACTGACTGATCCATGTCCACTGACTTAGGCGAAGTCTGAGGGTCAGAGGGGAGAGACAGCTCAAAGGACACCAGACCCGTCAGTGAGAGAGCAAGAATCTTATACCAGGCCTCTCAACTCTAGAATCTTCATCCTTAAAGATTTATTTATTTTTATGTCTATGTTTGGTCTCAATGTGTCAATGTACCATGTGCATGCAGTGCTCACAGAGGCCAGAAGACAGGTCCTCTGCAAGAGCAGCCAGTGCTCTTAACTGCTGAGCCATCTCTTTAGGCCCCAGAATCTGCATTAACATAAGAAATTCCCGCTGATGAAACAAAATCCCAAAGTAAAGACAAATCCCCAAAACTTACACACGATGTCTAAAAGGGCCACGTCATCAAGTCTCGCACACTTGTTCTGAAAGAGAGGGTGGACCGATTAGGAAATCAGGCATGGGCTCCTCGAAACCATTTTAGGGCTGGCCAGAGCATCCCATCAGCGTGTCTGAAGTGCTTACTGTCTTGGCGGTCTATTTCCAATCTATAGTCTTCGTAACCAACAGCCACCCCTCCAATTCTTACCTCAGGCCACACTCCTCTGAAACTCACTTCACATTCATCACAATGTATACATTTTAAAAGAGGAAAAAGCCGGTTATGGGGACTCGAGGCTGAAACTCTACTGCTTGGGAAGCGAAGGCAGAAGGACATGAAATGAGTCTGAGGTCAATCAGGACTACAGAGACTGCCTCAAAACAAAACACCACTCCTGAACATACACGAAACTGCATACATGCTGTGGTTTGCATGTGAAATGTCCCCAGAGGCTCACATGGTGAGCACTTGGTCACCAGCAGGTGGTGCTGTCGGGTGGTAATGGTGGAGCCTCACAAGAGGAAGCAGGGAAGTGGGGCCATGAAGCTCTGGAGCCTGCCATAATTCCTGTTCCCCGGGGTGCATGCAGCCTGCCTAGCCAGGATACTCCTGCTGCCTGTGCTCTTCCAAGGCTGCCATGCTTTCCTAGTCATGATGACTGTTCTTGCTGTTCTTGCTGGAGCTGCTTTTGTCAGGGCATTTCATCAGAGCCATAGGTAAGACCATATGCTTACATTTTTCAGATGTGGCCACTGTCATATCAATGTGGCATACACACCCTGTAAGCTCTATGTCTAATTTCCTTGTGGCTCTGACTCTCAAATCCTTTCCTGTCCCCAGTTCTCTTCGTCCCAGTCCTTGGTGCTGAGACAACTACGGATCCTTCTGCTGTCATAACATTTGCATTTCCCAGTTTTATATGAATGTTAACATAAGGTTGGCTTCTTTTCTGATCTGGCTTCCTTAGCTCAGCATAATTATTTTGACACGTAGCCACATTTCTGCATCTAGAGCTCAATTCCTGTTTATTGCTAGCAGTTGTCTGTGAACAGACACAATTTGTTGCTTACCTGAGGATGGACTTGGGCTGCCTCTAGGTTTTAGATATGAGCACTGTGCTAACACACGTGCCTTTCTGCGGATAAGGCCTGTGTTTTCATTGCTCGTGAGGAAATGCCTGGCAGTGGAATGGCTCAATCCTACAGCGGCAAATATTCAGACTTTTAGAGAACTTTCAAGGGCTGTAAATATAACTCGGGTAGAACACTAACTCAGCATGTCTGAGACTCTGGCCGAGACGCCAAGCACTAAAACTCAAGATGAATGCTGGGCTGGAGGAACAGACAGCTCAGCAGGCAGCCCCTACTTAGCATGTTCCAGGCCCTGGGTCCAATGCCCAGCACCAGAAGGAACGGAATCCCATCTATCCCAAATAGCTATGATCATTCTTTTCAATCCTACCCACCGTAATGACCATATATTATGCATTTATTTCCATTTATTGATGACTAGTGATTCTGAACACTTCCTCATATGTTTATTTACCATAGGCACGTCTTTCGTCGGGAAGTATCTAGCCAAATGTTCAAAAAATTATTTAAGTGTGTATGGGTGTTTTGCTTGCATATATGTCTATGTACCATGTGTATCCCTGGTGCCCTGGAGGCCAGAAGAGGGTGTAAGATCCCCTGGAACTGGGATTACAGATAGTTGTGAGCTGCCACTTTGGTGCTGGGAGTAGAATCGGGTATTCTGCAAAAGCAGCTGGTGTTCTCAACACCAAGCCATCTTTCCTACCATATATTATTATTATTATTTTGATTCTTTTTTTTTTTGTATTACTGACTTTTGAGACGTTCTAACATGCAACTTGCAGGTCCTTGATGGGCCAACATTTAGAAAGTTTCCTTCAGTCTGTGGCTTTTCTTAACAGTATTTTTCAAAGAAAAAAAAAGTGATTAATTTTACCAGTTTATCAATTGTTTTTTTCTTTTATGAACCATCTTTTTGGTGCTGTAAGAAACTTTGCCTAGTCCAGTACCACGAGGATTTTCCTCTTGCCTTCTCTACATATTTGATAGTCTTAGGTATTACATTTGAGTCTTAGATCTATTTTGAGTCCAACTTTTTTTTTTTTTTTTTTGGTTTTTTAAGACAGGGTTTTTCTGTATAGCTCTGGCTGTCCTGGAACTCACTCTGTAGACCAGGCTAGCCTCGAACTCTCAAACTCAGAAATCTGCCTGCCTCTGCCTCCCAAGTGCTGGGATTAAAGGCATGCGCCACCACTGCCCGGCCCCAACTTTTTTTTTTAAACAGTAGAGGGATGGAAAGACCTGTCTTGTTTGTGAGACAGTCCACCTATGCTGTTGACTGTGAGTGACCTGTCTTGTTTGTGAGACCGTCCTCCTATGCTGTTGACTGTGAGTGACCTGTCTTGTTTGTGAGACAGTCCTCCTATGCTGTTGACTGTGAGTGACCTGTCTTGTTTGTGAGACAGTCCTCCTATGCTGTTGACTGTGAGTGACCTGTCTTGTCTGTGAGACAGTCATCCTATGCTGTTGACTGTGAATGACCTGTCTTGTTTGTGAGACAGTCCTCCTATGCTGCTGACTTGAATTCAGTATTTAGCCCAGGTTTACCTGAACTCTAGATATCCCTGCTCAGCTTCCACAGTTCTGAGACTGAACACATGGGCCGCCTTGAGCAGCAAAGGCGTTTTGCATACAAGCATCTAACGGTTGTAGCCTGTCTGCTGCAAAGACTATTCTTCCCACCTGGAATTGTTCTTTGTAGCTTTGCTTTAAAAAAAAAAAAATCCATTAACGGTATGTACTGGTCTAACTATTGTCTACTGTATCAATTTATTTGGTTGGTAATTCTGAACACTGTTACCTCACACAGCAGAATCAGTTCCTGAGCTAGAAATTCCTTTCTCTGCTTCAAGTTTATGGTCTGTAGTTGGTCTTCAGACAGAAAGTCCCAGGCTTCTAGGATGGTCTTCATCTCACACAGAGGGATTTTTAGGATGATCCTTCGGAGAAACTCAGCAACATTCTCATCCATCTCTTTGGCCCTTGAACAAAACAAATAGTGCACAGTAACGAATTCCTCTTTAAGCTGCACGTGTGAATATATATATATATGTGTATACTCTCACACATGCGAGTGCACACACACACACTATGTGTGTGTATGTGTGAATGTATGTATACATGCATGTATATACATATGGTCTCAAGTAGCTCTAGGCTGGACTCAAACTCAATATGTGGCCAAGGATCACTTTAAATCACACACACACACACACATACACACACACATACACACATCTATATATCTTTTATTCTAGCCATTCATTTCTTGGTGTGACAGCATGCTTTTGTACAGGAGGCTAAAGGTGTCAGACTCCCTGGAACTGAAGTTAGAGCTAGTTATGAACCACCTGATGTGGGTGCTGGCAACTGAGCTTTGGTCGTCCAAAAAGAATATCAAGTGCTCTTAACTGCTAAGCCATCTCTCCTGCCTGACTCTTCAACTTTTGATCCTTCTGCCTCTATTTTCCAAGTGGGATTACGGAGTGAGACAGTGTGCTGGGTTCTAGTCAGTGGTGGGCTAAACCTAGGGCTTCCTGCATATCCGGCCAATACTCTACCAACTGAACTATACCTACATCCCAATCTCTAGTTTTTTTTTTTTCCTTCATTTTTCCAGAGACAGGGTCTTACTCTGTAGCCCAGGTTAGCCTGGAATCTACTATGGAGCCAAATCTGGTCTCAAAGTGGTGGTAATCCTCCTGCCTCCTAAGAGCTAAGAGCTGGAATTTCCCCAAGTCTGTACTGAATACCAACTTCATGGTACCGAGAGGTGGGACTTCTTTAAGAAGCCTAGTAGAAGGTGATTCGGTGGGTCTCAGGGGTACAACCCTCAGAAGGGATTAATGCACTCTCATGGAAAGTCAGGCCTAGTGGGACTTGGATTAGTTTCCTACAAGGATTTTCTTCTTTTAAGAGGGCGGGGAGGTGATGCTGTCAGCAAAGAGCTTGCTATACATTCAGATTGCGTCTGATCCTTAGCATTCTTGTATGAATCCTGGGGGGTGGAGCACAATGTGTGTGTTGGGGGCAGAAGCCTTGAGGTGGGAAGGCTTGCAGGCCAGGCAGTCTAGCAGGATTGATCGGCTGCAGATTCAGTGACAATCTGTCTCAAAATATCCGGTGGGAAGTGACTAAGGAAGATGCCAAATGTCTACCTCTAGAGCACACAGACACTCACACAAGCACACATACAAGCACATACACATTCACACAGACCTGCACTCACACAGACACACTGGCTGGAGGGGGGCGGGCAGGATGTGTTAAATCTCATCATGGAGATACAGGACTGTAACTTAGCTGCAGGGAGACTGCCTATGGCTCTGCAGTGCTGCACTGTATGGCTTTCCCACCTCTCTCTGGCCTCTTCCAGCCATCTGACCACTCCTGCCTTCTCCGCTTGCCCCTCACACACCATCCTGCAATAAAGCCCTCCGCCATGCTGTGATGCACCCAATAGAGCGAAAGTTACACAGAAACTTATTTCTGGAATTTGCTGTGAGGTACTTTAGGCAGTGACTGTCTCCCTATGGTATGTGAAACTACCAGTAAGTGTGGACATCTGGAATATTTGGTTTTCCTGCTTCAGTGCACTGCCAATTGACCATACCATACTGCTCTATGTCTGCAGACAAAGTTGTCCAGTGCCCATTTGTCTAGAGCCCTGAACATGGGATAGCTCCCTCAGCAAAAGGCCACACTCAGGAGTATTAAGGGAAGGGAGATCTTGAGCCTTTTATCTCTTTTCTCTAAAGCCATTAAGAGGCACAGCTAATTCTACTGTTACTTCCATTGGAATACCAATTCAGGAGGTAAAATGCAAACAAGCATACTCTTTCTTTCTCTCCTTCCTTCCTTCCTTCCTTCCTTCCTTCTTTATTTTTTTTTAAAGACAAGGTCTTTCTACATAGCTCTGGCTATACTGGTACTCACCATGTAGACCAGGTTGGCCTCCAATTCAGAGATCCACTTGTGTCTGTCTCCCAAGTGCTAGGGTTAAAGGCGTGTGCCACTGTGCCCGACAAACAGGCATGATTTTTATGTGAAGACTAAACAAAGTCTTTGTAGACTTTAATTTCCCTGATCAGCTTGTCTTCTAGAAAGGAGCAAGGCCTTTGGTGTCCATGTTTAAAATGAAAGGCAGCCCTGGCATTCGAATCGCTTCCCTCACACCTGAGGACTAAGAGTAAATGACGACTGTCCCTCACAAGAGTCCTGGCACCTATTACAAGAACTCCTTATCTGTAGTTTGTGAGACAGCGTCTCACACACCCCGGGCTGGCTTGAGCTTCTCATCTTCCTGCCTCTGTCTCCCAGGCGCTGCTATTACAGGCGTGAGCTACCATGTCCGTCCGGTTCCATGTGGCCTGAGAGATGAACTCAGGGCTTATTGCATGCTCGGCAAGCATTCCACCAACCAAGCCACCTCTCTAGTCTCAGCTGAGTGTATTTAAAAAGGCAATGAAAGCCACAGCATGGTTTAGGATAAAAAAGAACTGACAAGACGCTGTCTTACATGGCCTTTGCTTCCTCCGTGTTGCCTGCCTCCTCTTCCTTTCCTTCTTTTGTGTGTGCATGTGTGTTTGAGGCAAAGATTCTACAACTGAGCTACATCCTAGGTGCCACGTCCTCAGCTCCGCTGTGTCACTCCCTGTAAGATAAAAGGATCCCTCTGTGGGGAGAGTATTGTAGCTGCAGCTACCCTCAACCGGAGGGTCTGTATAATTTGTGGTAATTCAGTTCTCAGCTTTATTTTTCTGCTTTATTTTTCCCCAGGAAACTTACTGCAACCATCCAGTAGTTTTTTTTTTCTTTCAATTTTTCATTGCTTATTGTTTTTACAGAACCACCTGCAATCGGCTTTACAATTTTATCATAGCTACATTTTTTTTTCTGCTCTAGACAGGGACTATGTTGATCTTATTCTTGACTATGTCTCTAAAATCTATAGCCCAGTTATAACTGTCCTGGCAGGAGCAAAGTCATTCTGAGGAGAGTCACTTGCGAGCTTCCCCTTTGAGACAACAGACGCAGAGAAATGGAAACTTGCCCAGGAATCTAATGGAGAAGGAAAGGCTGACACCTGGTGCTAGTCAGAGGGAGCTTTTCTGTCTCCTTGTCAGAAGAGACTGAAACCAGGACAATGGCTGAGAGATAGTCAGTCCTGTGACCAGGACTGCTTAGTTGTGTGTACCTGTTTAATGTTCTGCTTCCTGTTTAATGTTCTGTTTCAGGACTGAACATTTGGTGTGTAGGTCACTAGATCTCTTTGCTCTTCCCAGTGTGGTCACACTGAATACATCTCTCTTTTCTGCATTTCATTTACGACTTGTCCTTTTAATTGGCCTACTGAGCCTAGCTTGTTAGGGCTGCCAGGGCTGGGGCTCTCTGATCCTAACAATTTCAGTGACCATTAGTCAAATCATACAGTAAGTCTGGTCACCCAAGAACACTCTCATATTTCGCTTGACCAATGCCTGAAGGAAGAATGACTAGAGATACCCTCCCTAAGCAGTGTGCATATGGGAAGGATATGGCTCAACGTTCCGTCAACTATTAAACCAACACTTTGTCCATGAGAACATCTGAGAGTGGTTTCCTGGGCATTGATGAGGCAAATTAGGAGAGCGTGTATGCAAAGCAGGCATTTCTCCTATCCCAGTACTGGCCAGGCTAGATGCTGCTATGAGCTTCAGCGATCAGGGCACGGATGTTGAATAAACACGTGATAATAACAATCCCGTAGACGCGCGGGGAGCACAAGGAGTAAATCAACAGGAGGCACGGACAAAAAACAGAAGCGAGGCTAGGAATTAGGGAGCTGACGCCCAGTCGGAACGGAACCTAAGGACTAAAGTAAAGCAGCTCTAGAGCCGGCAGCCCGGAGCTTCCACTGAGCAGACTCCAAGGGGCACATAAAGCCCCGCCCCACTGCGGGCGGATATGACGCCACGGACACACATCACCGCCCTCTTAGCCCGGACTCGGGTTCCGCTAGTGTCACTCTTAGGCCGAGATCCCGTGGCAGAACTGCGCTATGGCAAGGCCCCAGTAGAGTTCTGGGGCCTGGCTCCCGTAGTCTTCCCGCCGCCTCCGAGTCCGAATCAGTGTCACTGAAGCCTACCTTGCCAGTCCGCATCGGCCGTCGTGTCTTCAGCGGTTCCCGCCGGGGCGCTTTTGAAGCCGCCAATGGCCGCTCGGGCCCCGCCCACCTGACAAGCCCTCCGGACTGCTCCGGCTGCACAGGGGGACGCCGCTGCGGGCGCCCGATGGAAAACGCTCTGGATCCACCGAACCGCTCTACGCAGGGACAGGATCGGGTAAATAAGCTTGTTCTCCGCCTTGAATTCCGCCTGGTAGTCAGATCTGTGTGCTGTCCCCGCCGAGCTTCGGTGGAATGGCCGTAGATCCCCCTCAGCCTCGGACAGTGGACCCGTCCAGGCGGGGAGAGGGATGCGGGGTGGCGCATGCGCAGAGAGTCGGGGCAGGAGCGTACTCCTGGGGGGAGCTGCGGGCTCCGTGTCCGTGACTTCTCTTTCAGTGCTTCTTGTTGGGGCTGAGTGACGGTGAGTGTCGGGTTTCCTTCAGCCTCCGGGCGCGTCGGAGCCTGCGGCTCTTCAGTTTCCCACGCCGCGCTAGGTGCCCCCATGTCCCTGCCCTTAGACCTTTGCTAGGAACACTCGCTCGGCGAGCCGCGAGCATGAGATGTCACACTGCTGAGATCTGCCCGCCGCTCGCTGGCATTGCGACCTTGGGCAATTGCGCGCCTCGTCCAGTGCACGTAAAACTTTGAAGATGCGTGGCACTGAGGGCGCAGCGAGCTAACTCTTCTGGATGGCTACTTATCTAGGGAGCTGCTGTCAAAGTTGCTTTACTGAAAAAGTCATTTAACTGGGTGCTGATGTTGATGTCTGTAAAGATTTTCCCTCGGTACACTTGGCAAGGAAAGTAATGTTTAGGGTCCGTCATATAGGCTTCGAGGACGACTGTGAATGTTTTCACAATGGATGTACGTAGAATTGAAATATTAGAAGCCTCTGTTAAAACTTGGCGAAACCAAACAAAATCCCAAACAAGGAGGGTGTGGTGGTTCGTGCCTCAGTGGAGGCAGGAATCAGGAGTTCAAGGTCACTCTCAGCTACCCGGGGAATTTGAAGCCAGGCTGGAATACATGAGACCATGTGTCAGTAACAAAACCCACTTTAAACGTATGCGACTTGGCACTGGCAAAGGGATTCTCTTCACATCCTTTCTGTCCTGTACATTCAGACCTTGATATTTTGTTGATCGAAGTAAAAATAAGCCTCTCCATTTTCAGTGTTAAGTGTCAACATTCAGCAGACATCTATTGGACACTAACTGTTTGCACTTTTCTTTCTTTTTTTTTTTTTTTTTTTTGGTTTTTCGAGACAGGGTTTCTCTGTGTAGCCCTGGCTGTCCTGGAACTCACTCTGTAGACCAGGCTGGCCTCGAACTCAGAAATCCACCTGTCTCTGCCTCCCAAGTGCTGGGATTAAAGGCTTGCGTCACCACCGACTGGCCCTGTTTGCACTTTCTAGACTGCTCCCTGACAAGCTTCTATCACCTGTGTCCAGACTGCTTTCTTTTTTTCTCTGAAATTCCCCTGGTCTTAGCAGACTGCTTACCTGCCCACCTGGTACTAGTAAGAGATGGTTCCAGAATGATGCAGAGGAAACCTATTCTTTTGAGAAGCAGTTTAGTGGAATTCAAAAGTAGAAAGCAATGTGACTGTTATCTTTTATGACGTTGACAGATGAGGTGTGATTTTGTGTGTGTGTGTCTGTCAGTCTGTCAGTCTGTCAGTCAGAGGTGCTCAATGGGCTAATTTTCTCCTTCCGCCATGTGTGTTTTAGGCCAGCACTTGCTGGCCTAAATTAGTGTATGGTGTGTTTGTATATGTCTATTTTGGGATGGGGGCTGACCTCAGTCCTGTCAATCCTCATGCTCGCTCTGTCTGTCTCTGTCTCTCTCTGTCTCTCTCTCTCTGCCTTATGGATTTGAGACCTAGTTTCTTTTTAACTGTGTTAGCTTGCTGTTTCGGCTAGACTGGCCGGCCATAAGCACCTTCTCGGGGTCTGCCTGTCCCTGTCTAGTGGACTGAACACCATAACTTTCCCTGGTTTATGTCACCATGCCCAGACTGTTTAGGGTGGAGCAGAATCTTCTAACACAAACCCTCTTCTAAATAAAATATTACATATATTATGGTACATAGATATGCATTTTTCCAGATGTGAAAAGAATGTGGAAACAGAAAACACAGCACTTCAAAGAATAATAGCCATCCAGTGTACTGTAGCATGTACATTTCTCTACATTGTGTGACTCACGAGCCAGGACCTGTTACCACTACCCAGCACCACGAGAAAGCACTGGCCTGCATCGCTAGTTTATGAGAAGCTTAAGATTTGAACAACAGGTCCTAAATGCATTTCATCTTTCTATGATAATGAAATCAAGAAACTATAAGGTGGGCCATCAGAAGTTGGAGACCATATGTCTGCTTTGCTAATTAAATGGCTCAGAACATCTTAAGTTTGTGTTTGACCTATAAAGGAACAAATTTGAGGGCTGCTTGATCAAAATGTACAAAAATATTTTGACAAGTACATTTTTGAAGTGAAACATTCAAGTCATTTTCTAAGTGGCAAATCTGTATTTTCAGAAAATACAAGTGAGATGAAACCAAAATTAACTTCATTCTACGACCTGTTACATTATTGCACATGGTAGAAGTTGGTGCTTACCACTGTAATAGTGGTTGATGACTTACGTAGATGAATGATATCAAGCTTCGTGCTTCTAAGGCACATAATTCGTTTCATTGAAACAACCTGTAGGCTGGAGAGATGGCTCAGTGGTTAAGAGCACTGACTGCTCTTCCACAGGTCTTGAGTTCAATTCCCAGCACCCACATGGTGGCTCACAACCATCTGTAATGGAATCTGATTTCTTCTTCTGGGGTACATGAAAACAGAGGACTCACATACAGAAAGTAAATAATAATAATTAATAATATAACCTGTAGTCAGTGCAGAGCAAACAAAATCTGAACTTGGCTGTGTTTCCATTTTTCATTTCAAATACCTAACTGGGTGGGACAGGCTGATTTATGGTCTCTAGCTGTGGTGTGGGTCTATGTTTGGTAGTTTCTGAATTGAAAAGGTAGTGGTTAAAATTGCAGCTTCAGGTAGTGGTTTTGCTTTAGTCCTTGGGAATTATTCATTTAGGCTTTCTTTGGTATTTGTTGGAATTGGAAGTGGGCAGTTTGTATATTTCAGAAATAAATATATATTTCTCAGATTTTTTAAAATAACAAAAAGCTGAAGTGTAATGTGTATACCAAATTTGCCCACTAAAGTGAGTTTAGCAATTTTAGTACATTTGTAGGATTGTGACGCTATTACCAAGACCTAGTTTTAGAACATTTTATTCACTTTCAGGAGTTTGTTTATGTCCATTTACAAATTAGTCCTCTTTTCGCCTTTATTCCTAATCAGCTAGTGGCATGATTTCTGTTTCTGTGAACACGAATGTGACCTTTTGTAAAAAGTGCCTCAATATGTAGTTTCTGCTGTCCACCTTCCTCCAGAATACGGCTTTTCGTCAGGATTAGAGCTTGTAGCTAATGAGTATCTATTATATAGTTAGGCCACATTTGTCTATATGTTTACCTAGTTATTTGACACTGGGTGGCTTTACATTCCCAGGCATAGCACTGAAGAATAATGCTCTCCGCCAGGCGTGGAGGTACACGCCTTTAATCCCAGTCTTTGGAGACTGAGGCCTGCAGATATCTCAGATCAAGGCCAGTCTGGTCTTCATTGTGAGTTCCAGACCAGCCAGGGCTGCCTGGTAAGACCCTATTTCAAAAACATTGTAGTAATAAAGAGAATAACGCTTCTGCATATGTTTCCGTAGGTCTTAGTGTGAGGTTAGGCTTTCCTTTCTGGAGTAGATGCCCAGGTACGCAGCTGCTGAGCCGCATAGGTACGTGTCCTGCTTTGTCTAGGTATCTGCATATGTCCCCTGCAGTGGGACAGGAGATGGTTTCTCCTCCCCAACCCAGCTTGGTATTGTCTGGCTTCTGATGCAAAGGTGGGTCACCTTAGGGTGCTGCAGAACAGTGTGCCCAGTGAGCTTCAGAGTGTATGCGTTAATGGTGAGCATCCACCAAGCCTTTCTGTTTGCGCTTTCAGTACAACATTCAGCGATATTTGAGGTAACCAGTACTGCATTATAAAATAGCTTAGAGGTTTTAATTTTATATAAATGTGTGTATTTGTGTGTTGTTGTGTGTATGTCTGAACGTAGGGCCTGTGGAGCCCAGTGAAGACATCAGATCTGGAGCTGGACTTCCCAGGTGGTTGGGAGCCACCGGATGTGGATGCTGGGAACTGAACCGGGGTCCTGGAAGAGCCCGAGCTCTTGTGTTGTTAGCTTTTTGTGGGCTTCGTTAACTTAACTATTCTTATATCGTAGAAGTATTTCTTCAGGTCTTTTTGCCCCTCTAATGGCTCTTACAAATTGGATCATTTTACTGAATTGTAATAGGCTTTTTGTTTTTTGTTTTGTTTTTTGTTTGTTTGTTTGTTTGTTTTTCAAGACAGGATTTCTCTGTGTAGCCCTGGTTGTCCTGAAACTCACTCTGTAGACCAGGCTGGCCTTGAACTCAGAAATCCGCCTGCCTCTGCCTCCCAAGTGCTGGGATTAAAGGCGTGCTTCACCACTGCCCGGCGTCATAGGCCTTTTTATATTCTTAGATAACAGTCTACAAATCTCTTTGTGGTTTCTTTGTTTTAATAGATTGTAGTTTCTAGAGTAGTTTTAGGTTCGTAGTGAAACTGATCAGAAATTACAGATTCCACCCATACCTCCTTTCTTCAACCAGTGCAGAGCTGTCAGACTCCTGAAACTACAGCTGTAAGTGTGCTATAGCTGATGCCACTGTCACACTGTAAGTGTGCTATAGCTGATGCCATTGTCACACCATCACCATCTTTCTTAGGGTTTCATTGCTGTAAACAGACACCTTAACCAAGGCAACTGTTTTTTGTTTGTTTTTTTGGTTTTTTTGACACAGGGTTTCTCTGTGTAGTCCTGGCTGTCCTGGAACTCACTCTGTAGACCAGGCTGGCCTCGAAC